ATAGATTCATCATAATTCATAATTGAAGACCTGGGGACAACAACCAGACATATCCTTTTTTTGAAATTGTTCAATAGACAAAAAAAAAACATTGTAAATTCCAACAAAAAAAATCTAAAATTTTTTTAAAAATTTTAGAATTTAGTTTTAGGGTACATACAATATTATGCACTTATAGATACTGCTTAAATTTTAATAATAAGTTAAGGAAGCAATAAAAACTTGTTTGGAAATATCTTGTTGTTGAACCGTAATGCAATATTGCTTGGACATATGTCATATCTTATTGTTGCACCATAATTAAATACTTGGAGATGTCTTGTTGACTAAAATCAAAACCAGACATCTCCATTTATATGATATCTCTGTATTTAACTGTCGGATTTGTCTGGTTGTTGCACCAAACGACGCAGTGTTTTTTACTTGATAATGTGCAATAAAAAACTGAATTTGACCAAAATATGGAGATGTCCGGTTGTTGCCCCCAGGTTTTCAATTCATAAGCATAGGCGCATAGCCAATATCCGTGTTTACTGTTTATCTTTTTAATGATACCGATTACAGACATGGACATAGGTACAATCAAAGATATCGTAATATGAGATCGAAGGCTATACAATAATAAAAAGGTAGGCAAGTGGGTGTCGCTCTGCTGTGCAGTAGGTTACAAGTGGGTCACTGTATAATGGATGATATTACATTTGAATTCAACGATATAATATCATTGTATAAGAAAAACGATTCTGAGCGGAGACGGTATGTCAGTCTATGTATAAGACATTTTATATACATATCTATAATGGTATTAAACAAAAAATTGACCTATAATAAATTCCAAATTAATCGTATCACAATATCCATTAGGTACTTATAACGCGTTATACATCAACAAAAACCGTGATACTATCATAGATATTATTATTATGTATAATATTAATATATTATATTATATATTATAATATTATTATTATTATTATTATATTATGTATAATCAATGATATTATATAATTATTAATTTTTAAAGGCATCAACTGCAGCAAGGTTATTAGCCTGATAGTGGTTTTTTGTGAGTTGTTAATGTCGGTAGGGGGAGGAACACGTGTGTTGGGTTTGGCAGAATTTTTGATTGGGCACCCGTAGGTATCTGCCATGCCCGGGTAAGGGATGGCGGCACTTGTTCTCCGGACACCGTGACTTGCCCGGAGAAAAATGCCGCCCAGTGGTAGAGAACGCCGCAGTCGACGCGTTAGACCGCTCGGCCACCTCGTCCCCCCACATAGATATATAATAGTACACTTTAGAAGTTGCAAGTACCCACGAATAATATTATTCAATCACAACAAAATAACTAAAATAGTTATTCTAGGTTTTTTAATATGTAATTTCGTTCAAATTTGAATTTAAAATGTCTGTAAAAAATAACTGTGTTCATATATTTTTTAGATTTTTTGGTTACAGTATGAACTATTTATGAGAACCTTTGTTTTGAATTTGCAATCCTTAGCTATAAAAACTGAACATTTTATAATTTATTGATTAAAAAATCATGGTACAATCATGGTACAATGATTGATAATTTTCGAGATTTTGATAAATTTTGTCAAAATTCGATCTTTAAATGCTTATAAAAAAAAAACTGTGCCTATGTATTTTTAATATTTTTCAACTGCTATTGTAACAATATATCAGGAGCCTTGTATTAAACTTTTACACTTTTTAGCCCAACAGATAAAACTTTATTGATATTTATAGAAAAAAAAACTAAAAAAAATTGAAAGCTGTAAATGTCCATAAACAGCTCAAAAAGAGTCAACATATTTTCAAAATTGTATGGTATATAGGAAATGCTAATATAAACATTCAGTGAAATTTTCATGTATCTACAGTTATTCGTTTTTGAATTACAACAAAATAAGGAAATCGCTACATGAGAAATCGAGTGAATATTCAATGTTGTAAAAATTTGAATTTCAAACGCTCATAAAAATTTAATTTGACTGTCCGGTAGAGATTTTGTTTATTGATGAAGGTAGACAAACTTATGAGTAATCTTGTATTCCATTTTCAAATCTTAGATTTAAAAAGAAAAATTTTGACGAATTCTTAACTCAAAATAATTTGCTAATTTTCGTGATTTTTCCATATTTTGTCAATTTTTGAACTTTAAATGCTTATAAAAAAAAATTGTGACTAAGGATTTTTAATATTTTTCATCTGCCTTTGAAACAATATATTAGGAGCCTTCTATTAAATTTTCAAGCTTTCGCAACCAACAAATAAAATTTTATTGATATTTTTAGAAAAAAAACTAAAAAAAATGGAAAATGAAAATGTCCCTAAACAGTTCAAAATAAATCAAAATATTTTGAAAATGTAATCGTGTATAGAAAATGCAAATATAAACAACCAGTGAAAATGTCATGTATATACGTTCATTTGTTTTAGAGTTACAACAAAAACCAAAATTGATTTTTTGGAAAACTGATTTTGCGTAAAAATTCCCGTTTTTCCTTAATTTTTATGTTGTTTTTCCCGGCGCTTGTGAAAACTACTTTTGACCCCCCAAAGTACCAACTAGATTCACTTTCCTATCAGAAAAGCTACTGATGAAGAAAATCCAAGCACTTTTACTGTCCTAAAACGTGATGACAGACACAAAAAAAAATAAAAAAAAAAACACACATAATTGTAAAATCAATACATTCATCGTTTCACTCAGAATCTAAAATTAGATCACATTATCGTTATATTATATAAATTATTATTATTCTTTTAATAATAATCAGAGTCGTTTTTATGTAAGTACCTATTACAATGGATAAATAGGTAGGTACCTAGTACACAATACACTTAAATCTGGATATTTAATTTTACAGGCAGAATATTAGCATTATATCGATTATTATAATGACTGATAGGAAGAATACAAAAAAAAAATTGGAGGGTTGGCACCCTTATTAAGTTCAGTTGATTTCTAGTCTTCGTTAAGTAGGCTACCTACTCTAATGGATGTGTACAAATTTGAATTCAATAATAAATCACTACTCACGAAAACTATTCTTGGTGTAGAAGTTATGTAGGTAATCCTCTATATTTATCGATATTTTATTATTTATTTATACCTATTGGCTATTACTACATATTAAGAACTAGGGGGCCTGCAGTGCTGCAGTGCCGCAATTAGGATTTTAGGGGCCCCGGGCACAGTCAATATATGGGGCCATGAGGTCTATATATAATATAATATTTTTTATAAGTTACCTATACAAAAATAAATAATGATGGTGATATTCTTTTTAAAAAAACAACATTTTTATGTGAAGGCCCACTATACCCAATGACCAGTGTATTTTTATTAAAATATAACTACACTTTAAGTGTTCTTTTTTTATTATAAATATTAATTAGGGCTTTTGTAAAAATATATGGTTCTAAAAAGAGTGTTGCATACCATAAAGATTGTGTGTACCTACCTATATTATATTTAAACATATAATTATATAGAAAAAATCTTTACCATATTTAAAATAATAAAAACGTACCTATCACAAACAGATACAAATAATAATACTTAATAAGATATCAATTGATCATACTTATTAGGTACTTAATATTAACAATAGACATTAATTCAACAAATTAGATAATATAATATGGTACTTACTAAATACATATATAGAAAAAAAATAATTACTAACAATATGAAATACTATTGTATTACTTATTTCAAGTCATTGACAACGTGTCATAAATCAGAATACTAAATATACTCATAATATGTGCAATTTTTGCTATAGAAATGGAATAATTATACAAATTAAGAACGGAAATTCATTTTTCTTGCTTTTAAATTAGCAAAGTTTAATTTATAACGTTTAACAAATTTAATTCAGATGTACTGTGTTGTTCAACATTAAGTATAGACAGTGCTCGAATTGGAGGGGTGCCCGACTATTTTTATTTACTTCGACGGGGGGACGGTAGAAATTAATGTCCGAAATAATTTTTATTAAAATGTGAATTTCAATTGATGTCAATCATATAACGAGTTTTACTATTTTATATCAACATTTGTTTTGACACGAGTTTATATTTTATAATATCACCCTGTGTTTTGCCTATATAGTCAATAGTTCACAGATCATAGATCATACATACAATCAGTATATCAGTTTCAGTTATGGTATCATTCACGGTCTTAGAAGATCTTCTAAAGAAGATCTTCTAAGACCGTGGTATCATTCATCGGATCTAGGATAAAAAAACCACCGACAAAAAAGCCACGGATAAATAAGCCATTGATAAAAAAGTTATGGGATAAAAAATCCATGGGATAAAAAAGCCATGGATAAAAAAAGACATGCATTTATTTAACTCTTTTAAACCTTTTTAGATATAGGTATCTATAAGTTATAACCATAAGAAATAAGTCAAAAATATTTTAAACTATAGGTATATAAATGGGCTGCCGTATTTTTTTGGAATGACATTTCTTGGAACAAACGTTTTACAAAAACAATAAATCATACATTAAATACCGTAAATACCGTTTCCGGATATATGGTATAAATACTATAAATATACATTTGAAATATAAAAGATTAAACTGATTAAGGTATATATAGCAATAAAAGTCATTGCCATTTGACTTTATCTTAAAACTGGTGTTGGTATCTTAGTGTCTAAAGTATTGTATTATATGTGAACAATATAATATACTATGTGATTGTCTCTATAATCTAATATTATTATAGGTTGACCGAAACCTATATGGTTGGGAAATTGGTAAAATTTTATCTTTTATACACTATTCAGTTTCCGTTATGCTCAGTTTGTGTATAGTTCAAACTTCGTGAAATAAAAGTGTAAGGTGTTAAAATTTGTAAGAACTTTTTTTGAATTTTTATAATGGAAATTGTCAAAACAAACAAAGGAGGTAGCAAAATTTGTTTTAATGGTCATATGTACGTCATTAAGCATTTGGGGAAAAATAAAATACCATGGCGTTGTATGAAAGCGAGTTCTGTCAAGTGTCAAGTGTACAGGGACAATGTACACAGTACACTGAATTGCAAAATGATAATCCTGTAGAAAAAAATCCACATAATCATCTACCTGATAAAGAAGAAATAAAAGTTACTAAATGTATACAAAAAATGAAGGATCAAGTAACTTCTTCTAGTATGATAAATCCTGTAGAAATATTTACGGAAAAATGTATCGCAAATAGAAACAGCAACTAAAGCTAGGATGTCCACTGAAGACACGGTAAAACGTATGCTAAGAAGACAACGATCAAAAAACTGTCCTATTAATTCTACTATGATCGAAGGTAATTACAAAATTATTATGAGTATATTTTTGGTGAATACAATAACAGTATAATAAACGTGTATACTCGTATATTTTCCGTGATAAAATTACGTTTATTTAATATATATATATTTTATTAATTAATAATTATTAATAGGTAATTGGTGCACGACTGGTGAGCCTAATTTTAAAAGATTTTTTGCTATACGACAATGGTTCAAACTCGGATGAACGTATTACAATTTTCGCCACAGATGACGGCTTAAAATTGTTATCAGAAGCTGAAGAATGGTTCATGGATGGCAACTTTGCATTATCGCCGACGGAATTCCAACTATAATATGTAATACGGATTCAAGTAAAAACAATATTTATTACACCTGTATTTTGCTTATTAAAAAGAAAAACCCAGTTTAGTTACGAACAATTAATTAAAATTTTATTAGAAAAATGCAATGAGAGGGAAATTTATCTTGATCCTCTTATAGTACATGTGGATTTCGAAAAGGCTGTGATTGAAGCATTAAAAAATACAATTGGAAACCATATTTGTATTAAAGGGTGCTTTTATCACCTTACTCAAAGCACACGCATAGAAAAATACAGAATCTTGGACTTGAAAATATGTATAGAAATAATAATGGTTTTAGTATATTTTGTAGAAAACTCAATAGTTTAGCATTTTTACCAGAAAACAATGTTTTAGAGGGAATGGATTTTTTAAGAACAATTATGCAACCGGAGGCAACAGATTTAGTCGATTATTTTGATACCACGTATGTCCATGGGTCTTACAGAAGTGTTCAGCATAATCCGAATAATGGTATCAGACTTCGAAATATTGCACCACTCTATCCACCATCAATATGAAATGTCTATCAAACTACCATTCATAATGGACATCGAACTAACAACGAAACAGAAGGGTGGAATCATCGTTTTTAAAATTAGTAGGCCACAATCATACTTCTATTTGGTTTTATTATAAAATGTACAAGTAATTTTGTAGTTGAAAATTCATATGATACTTGATTTAAAATTCGTCTTTTTTATCGGTGGCTTTTTTATCCTGTGGATTTTTTATCCCATAGCTTTTTTATTAATGGATTTTTTATCCGTGGCTCTTTTGTCCATGGTTTTTTTATCGGTGGCTTTTTTATCCGGTTACCCATTCACCGGTGTTTTTGAATTTTTGAATTTTTTTTTCTTATCAAAATATGTAATCTCCCTTGCTAAGTAAATAAATTGTTGAAACAAAATAAGTTTACTTAAATTCAATATACTTAGCATTTATTCATGATATCACATCTTTATAGTGCTTAAAGATCTGATATTTTTTTTACTTAGCCATTTGTACACATAGCTTACGAAGGGGTTATTGTTGTGATATACCTATGTTTATACTTATATTTTTTATTTATAACTTATAAGTTATGACACAATATATCATGACGTATACATATTGTGTTCATATTTATATTTTTATTTGATTTACAATCTATATTTATATAATTAACAATTAATTATATTTTCATTTAATATATTATGATATTTTGTTATAGATACATGGTAATTACTATTTAAGAGTAGAGTAAGCATGAGTTTGTGAAATATTATTATTTTTTTTTACAGACATTTTGTTAAACCTATGTTTGTGATAAATGAGTAGATATTTATGTTTTTAGCCAAGTGCCTTGTTGCATGTTGATGGGTTTCCGAGAATTTGTCTGGAGCTGTTGATTTGGGGTATTCTAGTGTGAAGTGATTGATGGTGAGTTCTTTGTCACCGAATTCGCAGATCGGGCAGTCTTCTTTTGTTATGACTTATGAGGTGCAAGTGTGCAACTGCGTTAAAGGCAGGGCCGTAATTATACTTTTTGCGCCATCCTTTTTAGATTCTGAGTGGAACGATGAATGTATTGATTTTACAATGATGTGTGTTTTTTTATTTTTTTTAGATTCTGAGTGAAACGTGAATGTATTTACTTTTGTGTCTGTGTACACGATAAGTAGTGTAAATAATCCTTCGATTTTAAACTTCAGTATCTTGTTCGATGGAAAAGTTAAATTTGTTGGTGGATTGGGGAGGTCAAAATTCCCCAATATAGTTTTCAAAAGCGACGGGAAAAACAACATAAAAATTAAGAAAAAACGGGAATTTTTGGTGTAACTCTAAAACAAATGAACGTATATACATGAAATTTTCACTGGTCGTTTATATTTACATTTTCTATGAACGATACAATTTTCAAAATATTTTGATTTTTTTTGAGCTGTTTAGCAACATTTCCAGTTTCTAATTTTATTAGTATTTTCTTCTATGAATGTCAATAAAACTTTATTTGTTTCGTAAAAAAGCTTGAAAATCTAATACAAGGCTCCGACTATATTGTTACAATGACATTTGAAAAATATTAAAAATCCTTAGTTTTTTTTTATAAGCATTTTAAGTTCAAATATTGATAAAACACCGAAAAATTATGAAAATTATCAAATTTTTTTGAGTTGAGAATTCATAAAATTTTTCTTTTTAAATCAAGATCTGAAAATGTAATACAAGAAAAATTTTATTTTTTCATAAGTTTTTCTACCTTTATCAAAAAAAATGTCTACAAGCAAATCAAATTAAATTTTGATGAGCGTTTGAAATTCATAGTTTTACAATATTGGATATTCACTCGATTTCTCATGTAACGGTTTTGTTATTTTATTGTTTTTAAAAAACGAATAACTGTAAATACATGAAAATCTTATTGAATTTATATTTTCATTTTCTATGCATCATAAAATTTTGAAAATATTTTTACTCTTTTTGGGCTGTTTACGGACATTGTCAGTTTTAAATTTTTATAGTTTTGTTTTCTATAAATATCAATAAAATTGTTATTGCTGGGTAAAAAAGCTTGAAAATTTAATGCAAGGCTCCCGATATATTGTTATAAAGTTATTATATAAAGTTGAAGTATAAGGTATGAAGTATTTAGTAATATCATAGGCTGACTAACAGTTTTCGCTCAGAATCGTTTTTCTTATACAATTATATTATACCGTAATTGTGTCTACAGAAAAATAAGCAAAGCCAACACATTCCACTTCTTGCTGAGAAAAGAAGATATAGTGAGAATAAGATGCGCACTGTGTAAGTTGTCTTAACAGTATTTAACAATATTAGATATTGTGTAATCAATAATCACATGTTGACATGTTGCCTGTAACTTAATATAGTTCTATACTAGTATAGTTGTATTAGTTAATGTTAATCGCAATATAAAGAATTATAATAGCTGTTAACGTTATAAAAAAAACATAGAAATTCTACGTATTTTATTATATAAGTATAATCAATAAGTTAATAACTAATAAGTTGATATTTATACGTATAAAGTTATGTTTATACTAGTATACTACTATAGTACTATACCTACTTCATTACTATACATAGGTAATACTTATTTAGTTTTTTATGTTTTATAATGTGTACCTCTAATAATTAATAACGTATTTTAATTTAGCTATAAAAATAAAATTATTTTAGTTTTTACAATATATTTAATTAATATAATAAGGGAGTATTAATGATTAATACGATACTCAGTATAGGTACTCACCACTGTAATGAAATTGGTAATATCATATACATTTCCATGAATGCTGATCCAAGCATCGCATGTTTCTTTATGATTGGATACTGTATTAGGAGTGTAACAATGTATAGACATGTTAAAAATGTCTTATGTACCTACCTATTTATATATAATATATAGCGCTAACAAATTAGTAAAAACTAACTAGGTAGGTTTGTATTTAAATAACGGATATTATGCATATCGAAATTGAATTTGTCGTGTGGAGCTATAGCTACTTACTAACAAGTATTGCACGTTAACATAAAATCATTTGAATACAATGTACGAGTTTTATAGGAAGTGTCGATCCCAACAGCATAAGCCTATAGAATATACATAAAATTATGTGTATGTCCGCTGAAATATTTACTTTGTAGTACCTGTAGACTGTAGTAGGTATAATGTATAATAATATATTCTGGTAATTATTACGTTTGGTCTATACCTACTCTATATTATACATTTTGAACCGGTTTGATTAATTAATTGCGGATTATAAAAATCATAGCAGAAACAATTTAAATTAACTTAATATGGTTATGTAATATGGGATTTTAATAAAATGTTTTAAATAATTATTAATTAATTATTTTTTATTATGATAGTTGTATATGTACAATAATCCATTTGATTTATATTAGAATGAACATCTTGAAATAAATTAAAGTTAATATAATATATACTTTATAGTATACATTATAGATATTATAGTTCAGTCGTTAATCCATTTTATTTTTTCTATTTCTCTTCTTCTACTGCATGTAATTCTATATTAAACTTTGAGATGACCCCTAAATCCTGCCATTCTACATCAGCCATAACTGCTGAATTATCCAATTGATAACCACCCATGCGGCAGTCAACTGGTTAATTTTCATGTTATGTAAACCAACATTTTTATAAAAAACTGTAGTTTAATTAATTTTTTATTATTACTCCAGATTCTCTTTGAACTTCATTTTGCTGCATTCCACTATCACAAGATTTTGTGTTTATGATTTAAACCGAAAAAATAATAAATATTTTTTAACTCTATTTATTTATTTTGATTCTTGTTGTTATCTTGTAAAAATGTTGTATAATATCAGTAGCTTTTGTAATAGAAATTGCAGTATCTGAATCTAGATTAAAAATAAAGTCTTTAATTTTTTTGAAATTCTTAGAATAATATTCAACTGTTTCTAATCGAATTCTCACCGAGTACCTAATTATTGGTTCAGGTGGAAAGTGCACGTCATAACACATTTTAATATAACTCCCTGTTTTAAGTATTTTAATACTCTACTTGGAGCTTTAAGTATTTTTTTTTTTTACAATTGCGATTTGCGATTAATAAATTAATCATCTACTAGAAACAGCTATACCTACAAAGAGATAACTAATATCTTGATATTATAGGTTACTTGAATTTCGTTTGACCTCAATTTACTGCATAAATAATATCAAGCCAATGTATGAAACTACAAGGCTAAATATTATGTTTATGTTTATCAAATTACTTGGAAGCATGTTTAGTTATCGATTCAAAAATTATAAGGCATAAACTTTTTATATATTTTACGTTAAATATTATTGATTTTAATTAGACAAATGGTATTTACTATTTAGAATCAGTCATAAATTATAAATTATAATAATAGGTATGTAACTTTGTATATTATATTATAATAACATTAACATATTTAGTTTGGATATTTGCATATTATAACAACAATTCAAAAAGTTCGTAACAATGTAAACCAGGCTAAAAAATAAACCTAAATTATGTTTGTTGTTCTGTAAAATTAAAAAATAATTTATTGGTACCTCCAAAATACTAAGTATGTACATGAGAAATTTACTATATTCATGCAGACATGCACTCACATTGTCGGTGCCTACATACGTCTAGACATACGACATACGTATAATACTTAAATATTATATCAACTATATAAACATACATTGTTGTATATAGATATCTCACTGTAGTACTAATGCCTAATATTAAAATAAATATATTTATGTTACTTTAATCATAATAATAATATCATACGATTAACTTAGTAATATTATAGGCTGACAGAATCGATTTTCGTATAAAATGATTATTGAAATGTATGACTTGAATTCAAATTTAACACATTCATTTCAGTGACTCTATAGACCAACCACCCTCTATTTTTTTATAAACTCGTTTTCTCATCTCTTACGGTCAGGACATATAAATACCTATAGGTACCTACATTCTCTGTCTCGTTTAAAATTTGATATTCTTCTTTCAAATTCAACCACTATAGTTAATGCATTTATATTTTCTTCTATATGGCCATGGATAATTTGTAAGGACGTGAGTGAAATGTATCAGGGGACGGGGTTGAAAAGAAGTCTAAAGCAGAGGTTCCTAAACTTTTTATTGTACTACCTACCCATTTTGAGAATTTTTTTAAATTTGGCGACCCACAATACAATGAATGACTTTTTTTTAGAGATTCTAGTTTTCTTTTATAAAAATCGAGTGGTTTATTCTTAATTTCTGGATGGTTCGTATCGATATGTCTATGTAGTTTAACACATTATGGTCTTGGATGTTTTTCGTCTCAGTTCCAAGAAAATCCAATTTGCAAATATTCAGAACAATATTTTCTGAAAGTTTTTTTTTTGTTTTGACTCCGAAGAACTAGTTGAAGGTTTATCGTAATTTAATTTTCTCTTTTTAACTGCTGCCACAGATATTGTCTCTATTTCTTCTTCACTTTGAGTCATTCACTTTTTGTTTAACTATTTGTCCATAGTTGTCTATTTTCCTTCTTTCTTTCTCTTTTATGATTCCCGTGCATGGAGGGCAGGGCGGAGTGGAATCAGAGGGCGGCTCCAGGGGGTCCTAGGGGCCGCCCCCCCCAAACTGTATTTCTAAACAATTTTATACTGTTAAAAACAAAATTACAAAAAAAAATCATTGCAATCGTCTGAAAATTATGACTTTCCCCCCTAACCATGTTGTTGGTGCCTTCCCTGAGTGGAATGCGCTGTCCATTAGTTTATAGGTCTATGGAATTATCACTCATTTGTTATACATAAATTTATACTGATTACCGAATATAATATAATATAATATTTCTAATAAAAATCACCTCACTTTCTTATTAGTCTTAGAACACCGAAAATATTGACGGCCTATCCATTTCTTTATTATCTATGGACTATGGTTCTAAAGAGTTCTAGTTTTTTTGCATTTATATTGCATATTTGCATGTTTGCAATATTAAACATTAATCCCCAGGTGATAAGGTTGCATGGACTATCCATTTTTCTATTATCTATGCTCGAGGGGGTCGAAATTAAGGGGAGACGAATATTGCCATAATATTGTTACGCTACAGTCAGTGTTTACCATTTTGAATACTAATAAAAGCCAAAGAGGTTATAGAGGAAACAAGATCACAAAGTGGGTGACGTCACCGGGGTCAGAAAACAACTGATTGCTACTTGCTAGGCAAAATAAAATAAAAAATTGTGTTTAAAACAGAAATATATTTCTGATACATAAATAATAATAATTATTTTTTCAAAATATGTTCACTGGACCACCACCGTCCACCACCAGTCATCATCACACCTAGAAAACAATAAACGAATAACAATAACAATCGACGAGATCGTACGTCGCCTGGCGATCGCGATATTGAAAAAAAATTAAAATTTCCCAAGTACCAAATTCCTAAATTTTTATCAAAATTGTCTTGCTGTTGATTCCTATTGGAATAAGCTGTTGCGATGGACTCGGATGAAGATGCATTGAACGATATAGACTCTGGAAATGAATCTAGTGGAGATGATGTGGACTTTGCAATGGAGGTTGATGTGCGGCACGAACGTGAAAAAAACCAAGACATTGATGATTTTCCCTTTGAAGTTTTGTCCACAGACAATATTGTTCAACACATGATTGATTGCATCAAAGACGTGAATACTGTGCTTCAAGTAAGCATAATAAAAGTTTATTTTAATTTCAGAAATGCAATACATGACCTTGTTTTAGAGAACTCTATTATTGTGTTCATATATACCTACACAGAATAGAATGTTATAAGATATGTATTAGATAACCTACCATTATACCTACATATTATTTGGCTTATATTTAGAAGATTTAAAGATACAATTTCTGTGTATTATATCTTTTGGTAATTTCAGATGCCTGCTACAACAACTCGCATTTTATTGAATCATTTTAAATGGGACAAAGAAAAGTTAATGGAACGGTTTTATGATGGCGACCAGGATAAATTATTCTCAGAAGCTAGAGTAATAAATCCATTTAAAAGGACTCAACCGATTATACAGAGGGTAATGAATTATTTTTTTGAATAATGTTTTATAACAATGCATTTTAGACTACTTAAACACCATTTTTAGTATTGCATTTTTTGAAGTCATATTCTGTATTATTGATATTATTGACTATTTTATTCTTATATTATTATTTGGTACTTCTCAGTTGTCATACTCTGTTGGCCAATTGGGTGCCGGTAGAGATTTCTATTCTGGTTTTGTACTATTTAACTTCATGTTTATATTTATTATTACTCCTTGCATGTATATATTCTATTTGGGGTATAGGTAGTCATTAGTCAATTTAAATATATATTATAATATAAACTACTACCTTCGTTTAAAACTTTGAACAGATGTAGAAAAATAAAATAAAATGTAAACAGTTGTAAGTAGCCAGGTAGGTCTATATTTATTTATAAGTTTATAAGACATTAATTTAACAATAATAATTATTATTTGATTAAATATTTATTTAATACTTTTGATTTTTCTTAAGACAGAAATTCACCAATGTAGGAATTTAATATAGTCCAATAAGTTCCTGACTGATTTATATCCTGCTCTTTAGTCTTAAACTGATCACCTTAAAGTTTAAACATTTAATATTTTGAGTGTGTGCTCCTCTAGTCAAATCTTCAAAATTTAATTTGTGATTGACCTGCATAATATATGCTGAAAAAAAATACTTAATAGTTTGGCATATGATAACTGATTTGAGATTTAAACTTTGCTTATTAGTTGCTGGAGTATGATAACCAAAAAGTATATATTATTTAATTTTATTGTTAATTCCCTTATAATTACCCACCAGATGACCATTCTATTTAATATGTTATGACAACAATTTTTTATAAAAGTGAATAATATTAAAATTGTTACTCAGTTGATAATTTATATTTCATAATTTCACATAATTAAGCATAAAGGAATAAGAAAATTTCCTAAAGATAAATAAATTATAATTTATTTAATATTGTCTTATTACATTTTTAGCTGTACATTTTTATTATAAATATAAATTTCCAGCATAAATATTATGGTAAATGATTCATTCCAATAAGTTTTTAATAGTATTTTAAAATAATGTTTGTATAACAAGTATGCACCTGACTTTACATAACACACAATTGTGATAATGATAATGTTATCATAGACATAGAGAAATAGGTATAGATCATAAATTTCAAATTTTTAGATTAATCCGATAGACAGTCACTTGGTGGCGGGTCAATACATTTTATACGGTGCAATGGCGGGTGATAACAAAGTTGTACTTTTTTGTATAATCGTATTGTTGTAATGTTATATACACCATAGTTCAATAGTTTTGATAAAATTAACAATGGATTTAAGTAATTATAACAAAATGTTTGATTATTATTGTATTGTAAAATTTAATTTAATTTATTATATAATTGTAGTTTGACTAAGCATCATTAATTTTGTTTTATATATATTACAGCCAACGTCTACACGCAGTAGAGGTACTCCTGGAATGGAAGATTGTGCTATTTGCTTTGTAAGGCTTCCAAACAATGTGAGTTAAATTTAAGCTTTTATTTATAGCATTATGTAACATAATTATTGAAATATAGCAGTGGCGTGGCGTGGGTATTAAAAAGATGTAAGCAGTGAAATTTTTTTTTCAAAAGTGATTAGAATATAGGTACTATACCTAAACACCTAATTATAAATTATGTATAAAAAAATGTTATCCTTTTAAAATTTTTAATATTTTTAAAAATATACTAGTTGTACATATCAAGTTCGAGAAAATAAAGAAATTGTAGTATAAATACTTCAAAAGTCTATTAGGTGAATGACAGTGACAGTGTACGTAAAAACGACTACAGTCTACAACGCATCGGGCTACGTACCGGTCGCTCCTTGTTTCTCGCGTAAGCAAAATCAAATGTGCTTACAAACGCTAGTTAAATACGTGACCCCCACTATGGCATTATAGACTATTCGAAAACAACAGTTGCGCGTAAGCAATTTCAGAATGTGTTACACTGTATACCGTATTATTATTATGCAGTTAACATAATACAGAATGGATTAAAAATAGACCTACAATCGATGATTTTCTTAAAATAGTTGGTAATCAGTAGACAGCGTACGACACAAATAAACAATAACAAAAACCACTACCAGCTATAACTTAAATATTTTAAAAATTAAATTAAAATTTTAAAAATCATTTATTATGTACCTATTAGTCGTGAGTGATCAAATTTATTTTTTTTTTCATTTAAAGTGTAAGCAGTGCTTACATGCACGCTACGCCCCTGAAATATAGAGTCAAATCAGAATATTTGTCAAATCTTACAATTAACAATACAGATCCTGTTATAATAATTATAGCTCATAGCAGTTTTCTTCATGTAAATGTTAAGAAAATAAAGTAAAGACAAATATAGACATGAGCGCATTTTCCAGGGTTGCTAGGGTGTTGTTTTTCTTATGATAAAGTTTTCATTCTGTGATAGTATGAAAATCTTCATTCTACACTCAAAGTATTGGAATGTTGTTAATCTTCACCACTATCCATTTCAAAAATATCAAAAAATTTAGTCAACAAATAATAGTTTATTTTTAATGAGTTAGTTTATATTGGTATTCACCATAAAATCTTCATACAATAGTTCTTTATTATATTTATCATACCTACACTTATGCCCGTTATCAGAGTAAAAGTCAATTTATTTATTGTCTTGTTAAAATAAAGAATAATAGTACAGTGGGTTCCACCTAATGTGCTCACAGGTTAATATGAGAAAAATGGTCTGGTCCCAATTTCAATGTATACTAACTACCTAATTTTGGTTTATATAGCTAACCGCTTAATCTGTTCAAATGAGTATAGTCCCACAACATGCTCACATTAAGCCGAATCCACTGTATAATAGCTGTGTGAGAAAAGCTGTATGACGTAATAAGATCCATACCCACAGTACGATTACATAAGAAAGATTTACAGACCTGTGATATAGAATATTATATTAAAATTGTTGAATAAATTTAAAGATAAAAATAAAATTACGTTAAATTTTCAAAAAATTACTAAACATTAATTAATTAATATAAAAATTAGTCATTTTTTAAAAATATCTACATTTTAAATATTACATAATATAGTTAAAATTAAAAAAATTAAGTCCACGGGTAAGCGTAAGACCAAATCATTATTTAATAATAATATAAAAATCAGCTGGATTTCCGGAGAGTGTTAATAAGCATTTAAAGATCAAATTTAAAATTAAATAATTATTTTGTAGTTAAAAATTTATAAAATGTTCAATTTTTATATCTAAGGATTGAAAATTTCAAATAAGATTCCACATAAGTAGTTAATTCAGTTACCAAAAAATCTAAAAAATACACAATCACAGTTTATTTATGTAATCGTTTTAAGTTAAAATTTGGACTATATTACATATTAAAAATTCTAGAATAACTATTTTAGTTATTTTGTTGTGATTGTATAATATTATTCGTGGGTACTGGAAACTTCTAAAGTATACTACTATATATTATCTATGATAGTATCACGGTTTGTTGTTGATGTATAACATGTTATAAGTACCTAATGGATATTGTGATATGTTTAATTTGGAATTTATTATAGGTAGGTTTATAGGAATTTATTATACTATTGAATTCAAATTTAATACCATCCATTATACAGTAACCCACTTGTAACCTACTGCACAGCAGAGCACCTTTTTTATTTTTGTGTCGATCATCACCTTTTCAAATATTAATATTTGTAATTAAATTTCATTTAAATAATTGTGTTTAATATTTTGATTTTAATGTATGGTATGACAGGTAAATATATTTTTGCAGGTGCCTAAGCATCCCAAAGATTATATTATGTACATTTACATTCATGTATTTCAACTACATACCTGTATGATAAGCTATAATTTTGTTCCAATTTGAGCATAACAATGTAAATTTAAAATGTATAAAAAATAAAAATGTAAGAAGCAGTGAAATTTATATTTAAAATAATATAACCAGGAAAAAAGGTGTTTTGGATTGATTTTTTATTTGGTTTTTAATAAATAACCATTTTTATTAAATTGCACTGTGTAAACCAATCTGTATACATATATTAGAACTTAAATCAATTTTTACAAAAAATTGTAGTTTCAATTATGCTAATAATAATGATTTATTTTATTTATTCATGAATGAACTTGGAGTTTTATATTTTTATACATAATAATAATATTAAAAATTGTGTAACGTTCCGCTATATATTTTGTGTTTAGAGAGTCACTGTAATGGATGTGTTAAATTTGAATTCAATGATATAAGATCACTGTATATGAAAAACAATTCTGAGCATACTATCTGTCAGCCTATAGGCTATAATATTACTAAGTATATTTAATGAATATTGTTGTGATAAAAGTAATTTATTTTACTATTAGGTATTAGTATCAGTAGGTTAAATTCATTTTTGCCAAAAAAATTATATTTGAAAATGTTCCTGTGTGTACAAAATATTATTACATATTTTAAAATTGTCATATACCAACGAATAATATTTTTAAATTACAATAAAATAACTAAAAACTGGTTTTAATATTATGTAATTTCTTTCAAATATGAACTTTAAATTTATACAAAAAATAACTGTTTATAATGTATTTTTTAAATTTGTTGGTTACAGTTTGAACTATTTATGAGGAATCTTGTATTCAATTTTCAAACTCTTTCACCCAACAAATAATATTTTATTTATGCTTATAAAATAAAAACCTACAAAAATTTCAAATTTCAAATGTTTATAAATAACTCAAAACGATTCAAAATGTTATCATGTACAGAAAATGATGAAAATAAAATAATGAATCTTAAAATATTCTTATGCCTATAAATATCTCAAAAAGAGTCACTACATTTGGAAAATTTTAAGGTGCATAATAGACATTGCTAATATTTCATTGAAATTTCATGGATTTACGATTATTTTTTTGAGTATTTTGTTTTTTCACTAAAAACAAAATCGATTTTCTAAAATTGATTTTGGTCCTCTCAAAATCTAAAATATAATTAATAAATTATATAATATTAATATTACCATATTATATTTTGTACTTGTAACTATTAGTTATTACATTATTACATTAAATATGTTATCAGGGTTGATATAATCATACTATCATAGTTTAAATTATTCTATAACTATGTAAATTGTAAATACACTAAACATCATTAATTACTATTAATTTATAATATACTTGTTAATAACTTCATTATTAACAATTTGCTGTTATTTATAAAAATACTAAAGTTATTTTTAAACTCTAAAGTCTACTGATATAGTAAAAACTTTTTTTGTACTTATAGATGATGACTGGATTAGAATGTAATCATCGATTCTGTACACAGTGTTGGACTGAATATTTAACAACAAAAATTATTGAAGAAGGTGTTGGTCAAACAATTGCATGTGCAGCTAGTGGTTGTGATATATTAGTAGATGATGCCACTGTTATGCGATTAGTCAGAGATCCGAAAGTTCGAATGAAATATCAACATTTGATTACTAATAGTTTTGTTGAAGTAAGTTATATTATCTCTTTATACATTTAATCTATACCTCTATACATATTTATTTTGTTGTTTTAAAATAGTGTAACAGATTATTACGTTGGTGTCCATCGCCTGACTGCAATAATGTTATTAAAGCCCAGTATATTGATTCAAAACCAGTGATCTGCCGATGTTTGCATGTATTTTGTTTTGTGTGTGGAGAAAATTGGCATGATCCTGTTAAATGTAATTTATTAAGGAAGTGGATAAAAAAGTGTGATGATGATTCAGAAACTTCAAATTGGATTGCAGCTAATACTAAAGTAATTGTATAAACAATTTTATAATATTCTCAAGTTCTATACTGAATATTGTATATTTTATGTTAAACAAACATTAAAACTATTATCCATTTGTACATAAGCTTAATACCTCGGATACAACTCAATTTAGATGTGTCCAAATTTAAAAAAAATCATATGATTATTAACAGTTTGCTTAATTAAAATAAGATTTTCTTAGAAAAAAGAAGTTTGTATCGTCATAAAATACTTTTTAATGATATACAAATTTAATGGTCTTTAATTAGTTAAAATTTTCAAGAATCAGAATCCTAGTAAATATATTGAGAAAGAATGGAGGAAAAAAAGTTTTATTCGAGGTTTTATTTTTGTTTATTATTAGATAATATTATAATTCTATGAAAAATTATACATTTTTTGTATATATTGTTATAAGTGGCCATATTCATATAATAGGAATAATATTTTTATTTTTTTTTTAGGGGGTTCTGGCTAATTTTATATTAGCATTTCCAATCGCTTTTTGCACAATTTTTTTACCGTGTTTGGTGATATATTAATCATTCTAATTATTTTTACCAATACGAGATTATGTATAATTGGAAAGATCAGCGCATCATCATGTTACAGACTCATGTTAACTTTGACCCCCTTACCAACATAGAGTTGATTCTCTACATCACTGTTTACCATAGATTTTAAAACTTGCTTTTACTTGACTGGAAAGTTTTAGTGATAGATGGCAAATGTTTTATATTATAGTATGTTGGAAATACATTCTTTATTAATGCTATAAAATTATATAACTTATGCTCATTTAGCCATTACTGCATATACACATTTCAGTAACTCACTTTAGATTTCATTAACTAATGAAAATTTTGATTCTTTAACCTTTCTATTTGTAACATAATTTCTTGCATTGTTTTAGCCTTGCAAACATAATCATTAAGTTCTCCTCTTGTTTGATCAACTTTGAATAATTTGAATCTTCACCATTGAAATTAGACTAAAATAATCTGTTACCTTTCTTTTGCTATTTCTGTCTTTATTGTTGTCAACTTTCCATCTTTGCCCTCAAGAATTCCTCTTATCCTCTATCCTTCCTTTATTCCATTTATTTTCTGGTTTAATTGTTTCAAGTCTTGTGAACTCTCTCTTCATCTTGTATTAAACTCATAACATAACTACTAACATATTTTGTTTTTTTACATAAAAAATGTTATGAGCCTCTTTCCATCGTGTATCATACTTCCTTTCAGTTTGTACTATCTATCAACCATGTTAATCTAGCATCTTTCCTTCTTGCAATATCTAACTGTATGAGTAGTAATTTCTGTACACTCTTAAAACATGAAAACAGCACAATGTCAATATATATTTAAAATTAATTAATCATTAATTAAACTTCAATTTCACAACTTCACTTCCAAATTAGATAAGTAAATAACTATTTAAGTATTGATATTATAATTTTTAAAATTAATTACAAATATGCTTACCATATTTTCAGGAATGCCCCAAATGTAATGTAACTATAGAAAAAGATGGTGGCTGCAACCATATGGTTTGCAAAAATCAAAATTGCAAAACCGACTTTTGTTGGGTATGCCTTGGCCCATGGGAACCACATGGATCTTCGTGGTAAAATATAAGATTAATATTTTTGTGTAACTTGTATATTTGTATTATTTAGAAGTAGGCCTATCTGTTTGAAGTTCAAAAAATCAATTTTTCGAAATTCAAACCTAGTTTTTAAAAAACCAAGCCAAACCTACCTGAACTTAAAAAAGTAAAAAATTTAATAAAACTCCTAAATAAAAAATTGAATACATCATAAGTTTTGAGCAAAAATTGTTTTATACTTTATATTTTGGTTTGACATTTAAAACTAAAACTTTAATTCAACAGTCTGGTATTTAACAAAATGTTTGATATGGGTTCGATTCGATGTTGAACATATCGTTTTTAGTTATATTTAACATATTATTAGAAGGTTCAGTTCGAGACCATATTTTTGAGTTCAACCCACCCCTATTATTAGTTATTACTATAAGGTTTTTTATATTATGCAGGTATAACTGTAATCGGTATGATGAAGAAGAAGCTAAAGCTGCTAGAGATGCTCAAGAAAGATCTAGAGCCGCATTACAGAGGTATCTTTTCTACTGTAATCGTTATATGAATCATATGCAATCACTTAAGTTTGAACATAAGCTTTATGCTAGCGTGAAAGAAAAAATGGAAGAAATGCAACAACATAATATGTCATGGATTGAGGTGTTATTTTATTTAAAATACATACAATTGTTTTTCTTTTTTTATTTTAAGTATTGTAACCCATTAAATTATATATATAAAAATAATAATTATGAATTCTATTTTAGGTCCAATTTTTAAAAAAAGCTGTTGATATATTATGTCAATGTAGACAAACACTCATGTACACTTATGTGTTTGCATACTATTTGAAGAAGAATAATCAATCAGTTCTTTTTGAGGTGAATCTATTAAATCTTATATAATTATCAATCTAGTTGTTGTTGCTAAAATTGTAGTATTTTTTTTTACATTAGGATAACCAACGAGACTTAGAAAGTGCTACAGAAACTCTGTCAGAATATTTAGAAAGAGATATCACTTCAGAAAATTTAGCCGACATCAAGCAGAAAGTTCAAGATAAATATCGGTAATAAACATTTGTAGTTAATTATTTTAACATTTTGATGGTTTTCAAATTGTTTCTTTGATTGATTATTATTAGTACTTAAATCCTAGGAAAATGTTTGAGATATTTCAAACTAATACTGAAATATGTATGATTGTTGTAGTTTAGGTTTTTATAAATGAGAGAATTCTAGGAAACATAAACTGAAATCTGAATATTAAGTTAATATTATTGCCAAAAAAACTTATTTGCTAGATCTTAGTAAATCACAGTGGTCACAGTTGGTCCACTACTAATTATTTGTAGTTACAGCTACTTTCTTAAAATGTAGTTCACTACTTCTAAGTTTTAACACTATTGTTTAAACTTAACACGTTACTTTTATGCTATACTTTTATACATTTTCTTTTGAAAATTGGTAGGTTGTTTGTAGTTTCTACTGATTTGTCATTTGGTCACTGGAAGGGATTTGACTATGTGACTATTTGACTAATCGTGGATTAAACCCAAAATATTCACTGATTACTTTTTTGTTATTGCCAAATTATTATTTATTTTAATATAAATATTACATCATAATCTTAATATGTATATAATAGCAAACTCAATGAACACACATTTAATACAATGCGTGAATTCTGAACTATATAATATATTAATGTATAAAAACTATGATTAAAGTTTATAAGGATTATAATAATTATAGCTTAATCTAATTTTATTCTTTTCAGTTACTGCGAAAGTCGGCGAAAAGTGTTGCTAGAGCATGTTCACGAAGGTTATGAGAAAGACTGGTGGGATTACACAGAAAAGTTGTGAACTAGTCACATTAATCTGTGATATAAAATTAAGTATACATAAAAAATACAACACATTTACACAAACATGCTTAAACAATTTTTAACTACCATAAACCATATATTATATAATATGTTTATGTACTAATAATTATAAGTCAAAAATAATGAACAACTGTAGCTTTATTTACTATGTATTTTTTAGTAATTAATACTTTCATTATTTATAAGTAGCAATGTGTCCTCGCTGTACATCTTATATTATGAATATAATTATTAATTTTATTTTTTAATTATTATAATTATAATTATTTAAGGTTTTTTGGCCTTATTTCCATTATTTCAATATTGTTGACGAGAAAAAAAATCATCTGTAAGACGTAATCATTTCTTATCATAAGTTTTATCCTTGATGAATAATTTACATTTTCTAAAATTGCTCATTATTCTATATAAATATTATATACTTACTAAAATGATTAATGTCTAGTTTCTAGTAAAATTAAATTGTGTATCAGAAAACCTAGGACTTGCATTGTCCAATTAAAATACATTTTTCTCGAAACAGTTAAATTAAAAATTAAAGTATATTTTCAGGGTACTCACTACTGTGATAATATAGATTTGAATTGGAAAGAAGTGTACTTTTAACGGTATTCTTAAAATCTTGTTGGTATTTTAATTTTTTTCATGTTAATTTAAATCAAATATAAAAAAAAATTGTTTTATTTTGTGTTATTTTGTGATAGCTTGGGCTGTTCATATTATTTTTAAATTATTTTTTTGTTTACACAATTTATAACTGAATTTAATGTTGTACAAGGTATAGTGTGTTAGTAAATAGTGGGTATTCTATTAAGTGACTTTCTTAACTTAACAGGAGTCCAAAATTGAAATATAATTTGAAGTTGTTTATTTAGTGACATCGTTATAGCATAGTATTAGCATTTACAGCAAAAAGGATTATTTTGTAAAATTAAATATCTCTTAATTTTTTTTTTTAATTAAACATATTTAATGTAAACACTAATTGAACAGCTCTCATTATATAACTTTTTATCACTATTTCCTATCTGCTTCCAATATATTATTAAATAATATATTAATTGTCATTGTAGATTTGCATAGTATTATATATTATAAATTTATAAATAATAAGTTATTTATTCATGAGTGCAGTAAATAACTTATCAATCAAAATTAGAGTTGTATTTTTGATGATACATTATAATAATGTTTTCCATTTGAAACAACTTCTAATTTAAAATTTGTAACATTTTCTATAGGATATAAATATTTTTTTTTTTATTGTGAAAAACGATTTCAAATATTTTTGTGTTTAATGTAATTATTGTATTAAACTGATAATATTCTAATTTTTAATTGAATGTTATTAATTCAGATTATAAGTACATAAACCTATTATTTTGTGCTTTATGTATTTAATTTGAATGAAACTAATTTTATCATTTTTTTTTTTTTTTTTTCATTGATTATATAATATATAAAAATATAGTATATGCCATATGATAATAATGATTTATTTTTTATTTAGATTTTTAAATCGTTTGGCTATACCTATCCACTAATGTTGTTTATAAACCTTTAGTTTGTAATTAAATCATAGTTTGTATTGTTAGTTTATCGTATTTATAAGTATATACACAAGTGTATAAATAATAATATGATTCTCATTCTATTTTAGTTAAAAATATTTTTTTTTAGTTTATGTATCAGAGTATTTTTTTATATTCTTTCAATTTATAAAAAATATTGACCCTAAATTCTGAAAATACATTTCAAAATTTTTAATATCATTGATCCATATTTTAATATTACTTATGTTCAAAATTGTGATACAATTTTTGGGATAAATTAGCTCGTCTTCCAAATATCCTTTTATGTGTAATCTAAGTGTTGTAATAGTAAACAATTAAATAAAGGTTTTTTTTAAATACAATTATAAGTTCATAAACATTTTAAATAACTTTATTACATGAAACTTAATTTAGAAAACCGATGTAGTTGTTGTTAAATATCTACATCAAATTGAAATGATTGGAATTTCTTTAACGTATTTTGAGATAACCAAGTGGTATTCTAACTGTGGGTCTTCAGTATTTGTCAGGGTAGGAGCCATAGCACAGTAGAGAACAAAAAGATGTTGGTGATTAATATATTATTTTAATTATGGTAGAACCAATTACCTAACATTTAATTTCGGATTTCTATGCATAATCACCATTAAATTAGTTGTCTGATACAATTGATGTATTTATAATGCAGATAATTTTTTTTTTTCATTGTTCTGAAGCCTGGCGACTGAGGCCATTAGCTGTGGGAGGTACTGTACGGTGGGGAATGGTTGGGGAACACGTTTTTGTGTTTGGCAGAATTTTCAAGTGGTCAAGTGGGCACTTGTAGGTATCTGCCATGTCCGGGTGGGGGATGGTGGCCTCTCTCTCCGAATACTGTGACTGCCTGAAGAAAAATGGAGCCCATGGCCGGGATCAAACCGACATTGGTGCACATCTCAACCAACGCCTTAGTCCGCTTGGCCACTCCGTCCCCCAATATATATAATTATAAATAATAAAACATTAAAAACATCTCTCTGTATCCTTAATAATTTGAGATCAAAAAAATATTGTGAAGCCATTGGATGATAAAGTTTGAATACCTGATATAACCATATTGGTTATATATAAATGGATAGTGTTTAATTTAAATATTTAAAATTGCTTACATTTTTTTACTAGCTATTTAAAAAATGAGAATTTTTATTTTTATTAGTATAAATGTTTATAAAAATCATTAGGCTTAGTCAAAAAACTTGAAAATTTTTCCCACAAGTTATATATAATATATAACGGGGTCAAATCTAAAAAAAAAAATCTGGCAAGTGGGTAACACTGCAGTACATTATGTGTATAAATAAGTTACTGTAATAATGGATAATATGTTAATTTGAATTTATATTTAATAATATAAATGTCGAGTTTGTATACAAAAAGCGATTCTGAGCGAAGACTTCTCATTACTGTCCGCATATAATATTTTAATATAAATTAATTTTGGCCGAAAAAGTTGGATTTTAAAATTTCATAATGTGTATAAAATATGATAATATATTTTAAAAGAAGTCATAGACATATAAATAAATATATTTATTTATATTTTTTTTTTATATATACTAAAAAATTATTCTTTGTTTAAATATCAAATTTCCTCCAAATGTCTATAAAAAAAACTGAGTTCATATATTTTTAAAATTTTTTTCTGTTCAGTATTAACTTTTTATGAGAATACTTTTTATTAAATTTTCAATCCTTAGCTTTAAAAATTGAACACTAAACCTAAATAACTACTAACTAATTTGACAATTTTCGAGATTTTATCAAAATTTGAACTTTAAATAGGTACTTATATAAAAAAATCGTGACGGATCTTTAATATTTCTCAACTGCTATTATAGAAATGTTTGAATATTCTTGTATTTATGTATAAAAATGTCAAGTATTTAATATTTGCTGTTATTCGTTTATCAATAACAACAAAATAAGAAAATTCGTTAATTTAGGTCTGAAAATGAAAAATGAAAAATGTATAATTCAAACGCTCATAAAAATTATATTGACTTCCGGTAACCTTTTTTTTTTAAAAAGAAGTAAGAAAGCTTAGATACGAGGATTCGTATTCAATTTTCAAATCTTAGATATAAATAGAAAACATTTTATGAATTTCTAACTAAAAATAGTTTGCAAATGTTCGTGATTTTGACAAATTTTGTCGGAATCACTTCCGACGCTCATGATGAACTATTGTTGATGTACGCTCAACTTTTTTTTTAAATATCTATTAGGAACAACTTGGAGAATCGTGTATTAAATTTTCAAGCATTTTGACAGAACAAACATTACCAACAATAATTTTTAAAAAAACTTATAAAAATCGAAATTTTCTCACGTCCATTAATAGTTCAAAATACTTTGAAAATTTAATGGTGTATAGAAAATCGTAATATATAAACATCCGATGAAAATTTAAAGTACCTATCAAGTATCTTCGGTTGTTAGTTTTTTAGTTAAGCCCACGGACTGAGGTCGAAGATCTTAGTCCGTGGTTACATCATTTTACCATAACCGACATAACATTGATTTTGTCGAAAACATTGTTCTATGGATGACAAATTAAATTGTTGGGGCAAGGTTGATTGATATCAATCCACCTTGTGTTGGGGCTTTGGCTGGGTACATATACACTTTGGCTTTTGGCACATATACACGGATGACGGATGAGTCCGTGTACACTATATCACAGAATAGATGAAATCATTTCATCTATTCTGTGACTATATTATGTACACCGGCTACCAGCAAGCTAGACACAGCCGAATCTAATATTCCTATACCTCGGTCCTTTATCAATCAATGAATATTACCGCAAAAATAACTATAGATAACAGTTGTCGGAAGTCGGAACACTGACAAGAACAGTTCTTGCGAATAAATTGCGATTTGTGAATTGTGATGTGAATGATGTGATTTGTGAAGAACTTAACTTTAACGATTAAGCTTAATAAATGACCATATGAGAGGTTTATTAGTTAATTTTATATTTTTATCCATACTATTATTTATTACTTACATATCCTTTGAGTTTAACCATATTGGTGAAATTTCGTACCGACGTAACTTATTTAAATATCGTGGTTCTATGTAAGAAATATAGTTTTAATTGTGTGAAAAATAACAATAATGAAACAAAATTAAATATTCTTTAAAATACTTTTAAATTGTCCAATTTTGATAAACGTCGCTCCTCAAGTTTGACTTTGGCTAATCTTATTTTTTATTTATACTTAAAGATAGCATACAGGTATGTTCTCACGACAATCCTTGATAATTTATTGCAAAAATAAATTGAAATACATTACCTTATAAAGTTATTAAAAATGTATTATTTTGATTGCACGTCAAATTTCTAAATTCAACAGTAATTACTTTTTTTGACACCAATTTTTGTATAATTTCATATTATATAATATGTAGATTGTATTTTTAATCAAAAACCGAAATAGTAATAATATTGCTAGTCAGTTGAAAAATAGAAATAATATTTTCTTAATCACTTAGTTTCATATTTATTATATTTTTAGTACAGATAAAAACTTCAGAGGCAACTAAATATTACCTCGTATCATATTGCTTGTCTTTCTTCATAATATTTTATAATTTAAATGAATAGCTGATAATCCTATTTCAATCTATTTTGAATTTTCCATCATGTAGGTAGTATTATATTATTTAAATCTAAACCCAGTGGCGCCGAACCTATAACCCAAGAGGGGGCGACCGCCCGCCTTTTTTTTTCAGTAGTTGGGGTCACGTTGGGGTATGAATTATGTTCCTAACTCCTAAGCTATTATAATGTATAAATATGCAGCACATATGTAAACAGGGATGGTGGTCCGTATGACTTTTTACTTGCCCCCCATTTTAAAATATAGTTCGGCGCCACTGTCTAAACCTCTTAAAAGTAAACATTATTAACATATGTTTTGTTGCACAATTCAAATACGATTTTCTTAAAAAGTTTTTTAATTATAACATTTTTAAATAAATTAAACTATAAAGCTGTATAAAAAAAGAAATGTTGAAAATTATTCAATTATATAAATATTATTAAGAGTGATGAATAACTATAATTTGAAATTTTTATTATGTTTTTAGATTAATTTAATAATGGAGATATTGGCTTGTCGGCGACCTGTCCTAGTGAGCATTTTAAAGAATCGAAAGTTCATAAAGAGGTGTCATACTTACAGTCATAACCAACAAAGAAGTATGAGCCATATTATGCAACGTAGAATGGACAGAAATCCATTATTTAAAATAAACAATCCACAATTGTCAAGACATTTTGCAATCATGAGAGTTTTAAGTTCAGTTTTAAAACTACGATATTTAGTGATAGGTAGTGCTGTTGGTGGAGGCGTATCTGTTTCAAAGGTATTGAATACATAACTAAATTTACAATTACCAATTAACCATCATTATTCATTAATCAGTAACCACTATTATTTGCAAATTATATGTAATATTATAGAAATACCAAGAATGGACAGATTCATTGCCCGATTTAAGTTGGCTGGACATATATTTTCCCAACAATAACATAGCCAATACTATTCAAACATCATTGAAATCAATTTTGGACACTGTGCAGGATATTGATTTCGGTAAGACCATAAAACTGATTATGTTTTAAGTGGAAGAACTTAAATCTGTTAAAGACTGAGATAATATAGTGTTTAGACTGTATAAACAGTTCATTGTATGTTATAGACTCTTCAAAATCTAATGAAAAGTTGGACAAATTAAAGGTCTGGCTTGATTCTCATATTGATCAAGCGTTTAAGGCTGCAGAAATAACTGAATCAGATGACCAATGTGAGTTTTTATCTGTGAGAGAAAACTAAATTACCATCTTAATTTTGAAATATGTCTAATAGCTTGTCAGTGTCTAAAAATATTGTAATTTTATTCCCCTTGCTTTTTTTTTTGATATTAATGTTTACATAAAAGTATGCACTTGATCAAATTTAAAATCCAGTAATTGCTTCTAATTAATTCTCAAGTTTATCAGTGTGAAGTTAAGCTACTTGTATTTGAATTCGAGAAAGTATGCATGTTTATTGAAGTTAGATACATTCATTATATATTTAATTTTTGTTACTTATTTAAGTTCTTCCATTTGCGGTTGCTTTTCCTTTTTTCCGAAATAAAATTAGAAACCTATTATTAGTTATAATTTTTATTTTCTAAACAAGTTTTTTTAATACTTCATTTATTAGGTATATCTAATATTATATTTGTTACTTTTCTAGTATATAATATCGTTTCTAATTTTATAATACTATAATTTTCTTATACTCTATTCCATTTATTTTGACCCACTCATCCGACAAACCCAGTTGCAGGCCCTCCTATAAGCATGGCGTCAGCTGGCTAAAATGAGAAGTAACGCCGGTTGCCAACTAAGAACTCCTGGCTAGATGGTCCGAATGTTACGTTATAATGGCTCAGTCTGTATGCTCTAAAGCGGGTCAACTTAAATGGAATAGAGTATAATATAACATAATATGAAACATGTATCGATAAAAATATTTGATCTTAATTAATTTTAACATATAATATAATATAACAAATCCAATTAATGTTAGGTTACATTAAGTATTACATTTTTTTATCTGAGGAAATAATTTATAATAGTGAACATTTTTAAACATACCGTGTAATTAAATATTATTTTTATAGCTAAAATTGTTGAAGATATGTCTCCCATTATTACTAAAGCTGCAACACCAAACTCTAAAGATTACAAACAGAAATTGGGTTAGTATATATGTTGAGAATACTTATAGTTTGTCCAAACTATACATTATATTATTTGGTTCTAATTAATTATATTCATTATATTAGAAATATCACAACAAGAAATTATAGAAATACAGTTGAGGTACCAAAAAGAATTGGAAAAACTAGAAAAAGAAAATAAAGAATTGCGAAAGATACTTTTACTTGCAAAAAATCATAAAATGAATATGAGAAAAGTTAAAGTAAGTATTAAAAACCATTCCAATTAGTTGATTTTATTATAACATTTATGTAATAAATTATATATTTTTTCGCTTAGAAATCATTAATAGATATGTACTCTGAGTTACTTGATGAATTGAATGATTATGATTCAAACTACCAAACTCAAGACCATTTGCCCAGAGTTATTGTAATTGGTGATTCAAAGTTCTGGAAAAAACTTCGGTTTTTAGAAATGATAGCACAAGCAAGAATTTTTCCTAGGTATAACATTATAAAAGGTTAGTTTGATAAAATATTTTGCATTGATATTATATTAAATTATATAATATTTTTAGAGGTGCTGGAGAAATGATGACCAGAGCCCCTGTTAAAGTGACACTAAGTGAAGGTCCATATCATGTAGCACAGTTCAAAGATAGTGCTAGAGAATTTGATTTAACCAAAGAATCTGAGTTAGCTGAACTCAGAAAAGAAGTAAGATTCATTCTTGTATAATTTATGATATCATACCTATTATTAATTTGTGTCCAATGTAAACTTTTTAAAAAGGTAGAAGCAAGAATGAAAAACACTGTAAGCCGTGGAAATTCAGTAAGTAATGAAGTTATTTCAATGACAGTCCGTGGTCCTGGTCTTCAACGAATGGTGCTTGTCGATCTACCAGGCATCATAAGCGTAAGTTAATAAGTTAATATTGCCATTACATAATAGGAACTATAGTAAACTATCAATTTTGTATGAATTTATTTATTAGAGTGTGACCCAAGGCATGGCACCTGATACACGAGAATGTATTCGTCAGATGTCTACAGCGTATATGTCTAATCCAAATGCAATCATTCTCTGTATTCAAGATGGATCTGTTGATGCAGAAAGAAGCAATGTTACAGATTTGGTATCCCAAATTGATCCACACGGTCGACGTACTATATTAGTATTAACTAAAGTTGATTTGGCTGAAAAAAATATGGCCAATGCGGAGCGTGTACGTGAAAGGAATATTTTGTCACATCTGAATCAAAATTTCTTTTCAGTATTCTTATTTAAATGTACGTTTTTTTACCTTTAGGTTAACAAAATACTTAGTGGCAGTCTATTTCCTATGAAAGCATTGGGATACTTTGCTGTCATAACTGGGAAAGGCAATCAAAATGATAGTATTGATAGTATAAAGGATATGAAGAGAATTTTTTAGGAATTCCAAACTATTTAGGTAATATCCATAATATCTTTGAAGAATTTATTGACACTGATTTTTGTTGTCTTATAGAGAGTCCATTGGTATTTCATCACAATTGACAACACGCAACTTGAGCATGGCTGTTTCTGATTGCTTTTGGAAAATGGTTCGCGAAACAGTTGAACAACAAGCAGATTCTTTTAAAGCAACTAGATACAATTTGGAAACTGAATGGAAAAATAATTTTCCAAGGTTTTTGACAAACTATTATAAATCTCATACAACACAAGAAGTCTTTTAGAATGACATTTTAACATTTTTGACCTTAACCTCTCTAGGTATTTGGAACTGGACAGAGACGAGTTGTTTGAAAAAGCTCGAGGAGAAGTGTTAAATGAAGTGGTGAATCTTAGTCTTGTATCCGCCAAAGATTGGGAAGAGAAACTTAGTGCTGAACTTTGGAATGGCATTTCTCACTATATAATTGAAAATGTCTACTTGCCTGCAGGTTATTCGGTGAATCAAACAAACAGTACTGGTAATGATAATAATAAAACTATAAACTCTTAAAATTAAATTTTTGATATTTCTGTATAGCAAGCTTCAATACAATGGTTGATATTAAATTAAAGCAGTGGGCTGAGGAGCAGTTACCCAGAAAATCCATTAATATAGGTTGGGCTGTGTTGAAAGATATGTTCAAAACAATGTTTGAAGAAAACCAAAATCAAAAACTTCAAGCTTCCGATGAAATTTTAGAAACTTTAAAAATGGCTGTTATTGATGAAGCATTAAAAAGACACTCTTGGGAAGATAAGGTAAGGCATTATTGATGATTTGTAACTGCTATTAAGAATTTATTATGAGAAAATTAAAATATTTTTAACAGGCATTAGAAATGTTACGAGTGATTCAATTGAACACTTTAGAAGATAGGTGTATAAAAGATAAACATAACTGGGATCAAGCAGCTCAATTTCTTACTAGTACCTTGGAAAATAATTTAAAAGTAAAAAATTGATTTATTATTATTCGTATAATATGCTTATAGCAATGTCATTTAATTTATTTTGTATAGGTAACTGATGGCTTACTAAAAGAAATGGTTGGCCCTTCCAATTATGAGAAATGGTTTTATTGGCAAAGTTCTACGGCCGAACAAACTAAAAGAAATAATATTAAATATGAACTGGAAAATTTATTGCACTCAAATCCAGTAATTAAATCATTTTAATACTTATTTTGTAACTAAATTACCATATTTATGTCCGATTCTTGAATTTAGAACCATAGTAATTTGTTAAGCAAAGACGAACAAATAACTATTAGCAACAATTTGAAACAGAAAAATGGAACACCGTGTGAACTTGACGATATATGGCAAACGTGGTATTTAGTGTACAGGCGTCATTATTTCAAAATAGCTTTGGAAAATGCACAAAATATTAAAAAACATTTTTACCACTATCAAGAATCAAATGGCTTACAGGTATATATTTAAAAACTTTATATTATTTACGTAATTGTAAAGAATAATAATTTAATACAATAAAAACAAATATTAATTCATTAAAATTTGTCTTAATACTGTTATGGAATACAATACTAATATACTATGTGCATCTGTTTATCCACTTGCATAAAAATATATCGTATTCGCCATATGGATACTATCCATAGTTATTAAAAGAGTAGTTTCATTATTATATGTGACATGTATCATGTATATAATAAGGAATATTACATATTATAAAACTTAAAATTTATATGTTTAGAATGAGTATTATGATATTGAAATGTTTTGGAGAATAACTCGTATGATCAAAGTAACGGCCAACGTCTTAAGACAACAGATTACCAATAGAGAGTGTAATACTATATAAATTTAAGTTTAATTTACTTAATATAAAAACTAAAAATATACATTAATTTGATTTTTTTTTACAGTGAGACGTTTACATAAAGAGTTAAAAGAAGTTTTGGATGAGTACAGCCAAAATATTGAGATGAAGTGCCAACTGTTGACTGGTCGCCGTGTAACTCTAGTCGAAGAACTCAGTGAGTTTTGTAAGCTTTATAAAGTCTGGAATATGTATTTATATGAGCTTTTTTTTTACTTTAGATAAAGTCAAACAAATTCAAGAGAAACTTGAAGATTTCATTCAAGCATTGAATAAAGAAAAATGATAATTTAATTTTATCGTTAAACTAGACTTAGGCTTCTTATGATGGTTTTTTTTTTTAACTATTTACTGTTGGCTTCACATAATTTAGTTTTTCCAATTTTTTTTTTGTATATTGTTCGTTTTATAAGTGGTTAGTTCCATTTAAAATGCCTATAAATTATGTTATTATATTATAATTTGTACAAATCTGATAATGTTTTCTTTAATTTTTACATAATTATATTTGTATATTTAATAGTTGACTGATGAATTGGATAATACTAAAAAATCATTCATTGCTTACTACTTTTTATACGTGTTTGTAAGTATGTAATCCAAGCAAAAAAAAAATCTGTTTTAAATAATGTTATCTTAACCCTTTCACTGCTCCAGACGTACTATTACGTCAAAAACATGTACACCATTCACTACTCCAGATGTACTATTTCGTCCCTGTATTTAATATTGTCATTTTCCGGTAACCATACAAGTTTTGGAAACCATGGTTCACATTATTTTAAACTTGAATAATTAATTCATATAGATCTCAAAATTAAAATCTTAAAAAAAAATAAAAAAAAAAATTTTATTTTACGTAGCATATACTGTTGCAGTGGATAAATAGTGTAGCAATGAAAGGGTTAACACTTAACAACACTTCTGCATGTAGTAATGCATTTAAGGCTATCATTTATATTAGGAAACAAATAAGAAATAATTATTCAATACAATTTTTTTTTTTATGTTATATTATAATTTATAACATTGTGTAGTATTTATTATAGCAACGTATAATTAATATCAAATAAAATACTGTTATTCGTGTTGAAAACACCAGCCTAGCCTTTTAGTGCTATTATTATAACGTCTGTTTGAAAAGACTAAGAAAATAACTGATTTAACATAGAAAAATGTCTAAACCAGCATATTATTTATATGATGGAATACTTAAGCACCAATAATGTGCAGATGAGTTTGGTCTATAAACTTCAATCGTCTACTGCAAGAACAAAAACTATGGTTGTCTTAAAATGTTTTTCGTATTTAAAAAAATGTTTGGTTTTGCAAACAAAATCTTAAGAAACAGAAAGACCTACAAATATACAGCACATTATCTATCAGAAGCCTAACATTTTGTTCCTCAAGACAGCATTGTGTGAGAATATCTTCAAGTTAACATACATGCAATTTGGGTGTGACAAGCAAGTTAAAGCTAATGTTTTCAAAAATATTTTTATCTTATTATTATCTTATTTCTTTTATCACTTGGAAAACAAACAATCACAAACTAGCAAATCATTTTTCACGGTAGCAATTGATTACAAGTTTAAGTTTATTGTTAAACGAGATATTGATCTTCCAATATCAATATTTTCCGATGGTGATCTGAATGATTTGGTAAGACATAACTTTTTTCTGAACTACTTACTTTTAGTATGATGAATGATGATTTATGACAATTGACAATACAACTCAGTGAACTCCGCTTAAAGCTCTTAGTATTTTAAAAAAGACGAATTTCCGACGAAAGGTTCGTTTCCTAACATCTATTGCTTTAAGAATCATGTTAAAAATACCAGTAACATCAGCTTGTACCGAAAGAAGTTTTTGAAGCTTAAATTATTTAAAACAAACAGTTCTATTGTACTTTTGTATGACGTGTGTGTGTGTTAAAATGGACTTGGCGAGAAATAAGTATATTTATTATGTACCTATTGTACATGTCAACGATTGTGGGACCGTACAATTTTTTACTAAACTAAATGGATGAATAAGGTGTGTATAGCATATTATAATATACAAATAATAAAGCAAAACATAAATTACATCCATGTTTATTTCAAAATATTTTAATTTTCAGTATTTATTTTTTAATGTACTGAAAACATTCTAAAGATATATTATATATTATAATCTACAAAACTTGACTATAACATAAATTAAAAGACTAGTTACATTTATAATCTACTTAATTGATTTAAATATTAATTGCAAGAAATACAAATTAATTAAATTTAAATTATAATGTTTAAAATATGAACATGATGATTTAGCAACAAAATTGTTGAATTACATATAAAAATAGCATGTGAAAAAAAAAAAATTAAAAATTAAGATTGTATGTGGAAGTAGAAAAGACGTTAAAGAACACATTGGCTATTACATTTTTGCACAACTCACAAAATTGGTTATGCCAATTATATTTATTATTAATATTAAAAATACTGACACATACATTAATTATCAATGGAAAAGTGATAATCTTTGAGTATATCTGTTAAAAATTGTACTTATTAATATTAATATCAGATATGGAACATTTATAATATTACACATTACCATTTAATATAGTAGTCAAATAGTTAATTACTTACTTACATGATGAGTAAACTTCTTTCAATTAAATAAATATACGTTAAGAGGCAATAAAGGAGAAAAATAAAATATAAAAATTGTCAGTATGACAATTTTTCTTTTCCACTAAATATTTTATTTACATTTTGCCAATGTACTGTAATTTAATGATTGATTTTCAAGGACCATCACCGTAATATAAATAAACACTATATTATGAAAATTGATGGTATTACTTCAATAAAATATTATAAACGTCTAATTTGTACAGGTTAATAGCAATTAAAAGAGTGTTATTAATCAGAAAACAAATGCTGACGTTTATAATAAAAATTCAAATAGCTTTAAGAAATGAAACATTAAATTAGCATGAAGTAACTTATTTTTTTATTAAATTTATACATTTCACGATTAAGAGATTTTACTTTCCACCGTCAAAAATACTGTGGTACTCAAATTGTATAAAAATGGTTTCTTACATTCTATTATTGAAACATAAATTGTACATTCTTTGTTTTGTTAATGTCAAATTCTTATTAGCAACGTTTCCATTTCCACTGTTCATAAACTGAAACAATCCAAACACAAAAATGTTAGTTGGAATGGTAAAAATAATGTTTAACACAAGTCAGTCCATTTCATCTAGGCAGTTATTGACTGCCATGCCCACGCCCCTGCCAAGATGAAACAGATGTCCTAAATAAATGCCGCGTATAAAATCCCTCGAGTTTTGCACCAAAAGGGTGAATTATTCAATTGTTCAGACTAGAAGACATAATACAAACTAATATTAAACATAAAAATAATAAGGGAAGTTTAAACATGCTAATACTGTCATGTAAACATAAAATAAGCAAATCGAGATTCATGAGAATAAAAAAAAATTAATGGTAGGCACATACCTACGGTTGGATATAGTGTTGGGCCGATGTCGATCTGCCAATAGGATAAGATACCAAAGGCTGCGAGTTAGTTGGCTGCGGCAGGGGCGGCGGGCCAGACCCAGATACAACAGGTGGTATCTGAATTGGAGCCATGGAGACGGTAGCTATGGACACGGGTGTGCCGGCCGCAGCCACCGCCGCCAAGCTGACTGGGACTGTGGTCACGGTGCGTATAGCGCTCACCATTTGCTGGGTGCTGCGCAGGGGCGCTTGTTCATTTATGCGCAGCTGTGCGTTTTGCTCCAACAAGAATTCATTAGTCGCTTGCAATTCCTCATTGCGCTTTTTCAACTCAGCCACACGCTTGCGCAACATTTCCACCTCATCTTGCAACAACCAATATGGCTGTTGATGCACAGGCCCAGGTGGCGCGGAAAAGTCCATGTCGCGATTGGGGAATGGGCGCCCTAGCGGCATTCTGTTGTCAAATTCGTAGCGCCTACGCTTGGGATCGGGCTCTTCATCATAATCAAAGCGTCTGCGGAACAACTCATTACCGAAGTTAGGTGGCATCGCTGGCTGGGGTGAATTGAAAGGACCATTAGGACCTCTAACAGGTACATCAAGCGGTTGATCTACATGACGAAATTTACAATGAGCTTGGCTACGATGGCAATTGCCTTTTAAATAATCTTTACAAATAGGTATATCATCAGAAGGAGGCGCACCAGTTATTTCAATCGTCCTCAACACTTCTGGTGCCATGCGTCCGGTCCGATTATAATACTCCTCATCCTCACGAGAACAATGAATGAACCGGCAGTCGTGTCGACTACACTTGCCATTTTGAAAGTCATGGCAAAATACATATTTGCGCTTATCCTCTTCGACAGGAGGATGAAAAAATTTGCAAGATTTGCCTCTATTGCACACATTGCGCATGAAATCACGACATACATTCTCGGTTGTTTCTGATTCCTGTTCCTTTTTCCCCTTCATCCCTGCGATTTCAGACTATTATACAATTTTGCATGCATTTAGCATTTCAAAATCTAAAATTGGGTTTAATACAGCATATAATAATATACTTAGTTTATTGAATTATATTATTCAAAGAATATTGTGTAAATAATAATAATCATAAAATTAGGCTAATTAAATATTATTAGACAATTATGGAAACAAAAATAATATAATATAACATTATATCAGAAAGTGCTTGAAGTTTGAATAAGTATTTCACATTAACATGTAAGAAATATTTTTTTAATAAACAATCAGATTTATTACATTTCTTTTATGTTGCCAACGATAGGAAATCAAAAAAAAAATTGTAATAATATGTTTAAAACTCGCACACTTCTGTAAGTGAAAGCTACCATTTAATTAATACCAATTACCTACCCAACTTCAGTAAATCATTGCTAAATAATAATTATCAACACATTCAATATTTTTATACTCGCTGCGTAAATACTCAATTTGTCGGCGCAATTTACGCGGGATGCCAATGGAAAATTCGATGGCCGGGTAATGCGCGTGAGACGTTGGCAGTTCATATAATCTAAAATATCTTTGAGAAAAAATGTTCGAACGACCGGCGTTGAGCAGTTGCAGGTAGCGCCGAAATGTCCACTAAACCTAAAGACGAGATCGCTGGCATTCAGGCGACTCAGCGCGAAATGTAGTTAAATACTATATTAGGGCACGTCATTGTACATAATAATAATAATGGTATAATATAATAATAATAACTAATCAATACTTTACCTTTAGAAGATTATTTTTTACAAAAATTAAACCAAAACTCCAATATAAATTATTTGGATGTAGGAACTACGATGGTTGTATTGAGACTATTTAGATCAACTATATTTGTTTTATATACTATGAAAAACTGTATATACAACAGTAAAATTATTGTATAAGTTAATGTGGTTAACTCGAATAGCAAACTTTGAACATTCAATTGGTTTTACAATAGAATATAGAACATTAAATTAAGAATTTAAGAATAATTACCACTTTCCGACTTTTTGTAATAAAATATTGAAATCAAAATGGAAAAATAATCAATGACCTTTGGGGCGTGGCCTAAACAGTGAGATGTAAACATTTAAAGTTTTTTATTCCAAGTGGTCCTGGAACCTGGAAGAAAAACGAAGATTTTTTTAGATCCGAATTATTCCTAGCCAACTACAGGCTGAAAATTGAAATATTATAAATTTATAAGAAAACAAATAGGATATAGTCAACAACACGATTTAATACACACTTTAATTATTTAAGTATTAAATATTTATTCTTAAATCATGCATTCGTGCTCAACAGTCAACATTGTCGACTGCGACCACTGTCTATGGCATAGAAAAATATTTGTCTAAAGATTGGTCTATGAGTCTATCAGATTACTGTAGCGGTGGCGTTAAATAATATTGTCTTGGCTTTACCTCCGCGGTGAAATGTGTTCTGCAGCAATTCACCGCCACCGCTGCAGTATGTGGGGACCTTAAAGGATCCATGCAAGTTGAGTACTTGCAGATAGCAGTAGGTACTTAAAACACTAAAGCTGTTTTAAAATTGATGTATTAGTTTAAAATTATTTTAAAAATTAACAGTAACTGAAGTAAGTCTAAACATAAAAAAGTTTGATTACATTTAAAAATAAGTTTATGACGTAACAATTTTTTTCCCACTTAATGAGTTTATCTTTTCTAGAGTGTTGCTTAACAATGAACCTTTTTCTTGTTTGAATTTAAACATGTGTAACAAAATATGTTCTACTATTTCATCTGCAGTTTTGTTTTGTCCGAAATAATCTATGAATTCACCCTCTGGATTAACCAAGTACATAATGATCGTATGATCCACCTGAAATGATGAATACAAATATAAATGTTTGATAATAAAAGTATGATGATATAATAATAAAATATGTGGTCATAAACTCACAATATAATCATTATCGACGTCTTTCTTTCCAGGGCTGTAATAAACTCTATATCTCTTGCAGACTTGCTGAATTTGATCCGAAGTGCCACTTAAACCAATGAATTTTGAAGAAAATTCCTTAATATATTTATCTACAATTTTAGGAGTATCTCTGTCTGGATCTACAGTGATGAAAATACCTTGAATGCCTGTATTCATGTCTTCTTTTTCTAAAATTTGCAAAAAGCTGATATGATAAAGTTATTATTAAAATATTGTTTTATTTAATTATGTATGTACCAAGATTATCTACAACTAATGCCATTTTTTCTAATTCATCAGGACATATATCTGGACAATGACTGAAACCAAAATAGATGAGCATCCACTTCCCCAAAAATTGTTCACTTTTTACAATGTTGTTGGATCCATCGAGTAACTCAAATGGACCTCCAATTTGTGCTTTTCCTAACTGACGCTTTCTCTCTCGCCTTTGTTCTGAAAATATATACATTTTATTAAGGTTTTGTTTAAGTTATACATATAATGTACCTATCTAATATGTTATAAAACAATGATACAGTTTTAACTTAATTATATTTAATAAATAATATTAATGTGTAGTTTTATTTTATTTTATTTATTAAAAATATGGACACATAGCACAATGGTAAACAATTATGAAAAATATAATATCTTATATTAATACCAAGAAAGAATATGAGAAAAACAAACAAAATTTACAGTAGGTATAATTAAATAGGAACAATATTAAGAATATTACATTTTTTGTTTACTGTATATTTATTATTTAAAAAAGGGTTTTAAAACTTTTTGAAATTATAAAATAATGACTAAATAATAAGTACATGATAATATTAAACAAAATATAAATAACTGAATTAGGTTAAGTTACCACTTAATAATTATAAACACTTACTTTCTTCTTGTTCTTCTTTAAGATATAATAAGTATGTGACCATACCAGCTCCCAAAACACCAGTAATTCCAACAGTTTTCCAGGTAATCGGACCATCTTTTCCAAATATTGGTTTATTACGTTTGGGAAATTCAACATGTTTATTTGGACCTCCCGACACATTACTAAAGTTGAATTTTTTTATTTGTTTGATTTGGAACTATAAAGAAAATAATAGCATTTATACATAATTAATTAATTGGAAATCAGATTTTATAATTCAAATTAGCATAAAAGCAAAAATAATAACATAGTATGATAAAAACAAGTAAATAATATATGTAGATATTTTACTCGTTGGAAAATTATTCTGGAACAAAAATATGACATGACTGATGGAGATTTTTAAAAATCACGAAAATGAATGTTGTGAACACTTTTTTAAATACTTTGATCAAATGTTATCTTTATTTTAAGTGTAAGATTTAATCCTAAAAAAAAATTCGTAGGTATTACAAAAAAGCAAGTTCACTTAGCCAACAATATTGTCTGATCGATTATCCATAGGGATGTATAAGAAATATGGTAAAGTTTTATTAACTAAGACGGATGAGGAAATAACACTTAACAGTGGACATGAATACTTTATACTTGAAGTATGAGAATTTTTTTATTTTTATCTACGATCACAAATTTATATTATGAATTATGATAGTCTTATCACAGATGTATTTTATATCATACATCTTTATCACGGAGATATACAAGGATACAAGGAGCGTTAAATATGCTAATGATCAGTCCCTACAAACATGGTCGAATAGAATATTGCCTAATTTCGACCCCTTAAAAATGGTTAGATTTCGAATTTTTATAATACTTATTACCTATGATTATGAATATAATTTAATGGAATGTTTAAATTAAATTATTTTTTTTATAAAATAATTAACTCTTGATGTCACACTTACATTTGTGCTTAATGTGTTAATAGTTTTGTAATTTTATTTTCTTAGCATAAAGATGATAGGCAAAAAGGCAGGCTTGTTAAGTAACTTAAGTAGGTACCTACACGGCTACACATACTGTCAGACTAGTAATAATTGTCTAATTAACAGGACATTTGAAGGGATATATTAGGATATTATTTTTATATTTTCCCGAAACAATTTTCGGTTGTAGAAGAGAACCCAATTTAAATTCAAAAGAAAACTAACATTCTTTTTCTGGTATTCCAAAAGCTTCAGTGTGAGAACTAAGAAGGCGCAAAGGTGGTAAAAGGATTGCATTTTTTGCCTTGTAGGTAGGTACTAGGTAGGTAGGTATCGAAGTCTTGTTTTGTGCAAATTCCAATTCTGTATATTGTTCATCATTAAATTGTTTTTCTTTTGTGAGGTAGGTATAATACGTATTTTCCTCGTACTCGATAATTATACTTATACAATTATACAATTTAAATTCATTGATGGCTGATGCTAAGGTTTTTAATACAATTATATTTTTGGTCTTGAAGAAATGGTCTTTGTGCTACAAACCATTGTTTCATTAAAAAAAAAATTACAAGTATTCATTTTTTTTATGTCTATAGCCAATATTCCTTTATTATTGGCTATCCGCTACCACTACATTTATGTCTATATATATAAAAATGAATGTATGTCAGTGTGTCAGTGTGTCTGTGTGTCTGTGTGTCCATGTTACCATGGTTACCAAGGTTGCCATGGTTACTAAAAATCGAATTATTGAACAATGCTTACCAGGGTGGCAGAGTTGCACTTACCGCAGAAAATTACACCCAAAAGGAGTTCAACAATCATAATTTTTTTAAGAGTTGCGATTTTTTACGAGCAACCAAATTTATTATATTAATCCACAGTATTACATCAAAATAAACTTGGTATAACTTTGATACTTTAGAGTTAAATCATACACTTCCGTACAAACAGCACGGGGTCCGCGATCTACCGCAGGTAGATTGCCTACCTGATAATGTACTGCTGCGATTCAGAATTTTTATTCAGGGCAACGGGAAAGATAAGATAAATTTTGAACACCATACACGTTAATGAATTGAACAAAGTTTGAGTAGGTAGTATTGAGTTGATCCATTTAACGGGCGACGAAGTGCACGGGATCAGCTAGTACTATATATAATGATGTACCTATTTCAGTGCAAAATCTAATATGTGGTTATGCTTATAGTTAATATATTATTGTACAACTACTGTCAAAACTCACATACCGTCAAAAAGTGATTTCCTTGTACAAAAGATAGGTATCAAGTTTGTTCGGATTAGGAATTAGGATATTACAACTCAAGTCAATTATTATGTAGAAAATATGGAATCGGTACATGCACGTATACATGGGGGTTTAATGGTTCAAACCTAAACTGAAATGTTTTCAAACAATATTATTTTTCGACATGCAGCTATTATATTATATTATTATTTTACCTATGTAAAATACAATTTTGAATTTTTTTAAATATTATTTTATATCAACTATTTGACTATATTAACGTTCACACTTTCTACACAATACATATTATTATTTACATTAACCGGCTCTACCAGTTATTAGTTATTACACTGTTTACCTATTTACTATATAAAAGAAGATGGTTATGTTCTCTCACGATCACCATTCAATATATTTGTTTTTAATTAATTTATTTATTATCATTCTTTAATGAGCTAATCATTGTGAATTTGCTTAATATTTTTTAAATTTTAGCTTGAACTATTTAATCTGTGTTCCTACTGTAAAATTTTTTCTAAATTTTTTTTTGTTTTCTTAAATGCATTTGCCTTCGGGCGTCAACACCCCCCTACGATTTTGCAAAAATGAATTGCTGGAAATCATTAGATTTTCATTGAAAATGATAGGGAAGTCTGAATTTGTTGGTCAGACTTATTTTAAAGTTATAGCTAATTGAAATTTTTGCACCCGACTGCACTCGCCCGGACAATTATAATCAAAAATGGGGCCACGGCCGTGGGGGTCATAATTATTTTTGCACCATCATTCTTAAACGTTGATTTAACTAGGTTTCCGAAATTAAAAATTGAAAAATTTGGGTGAACTATATGGATTATAACACTAAATTTAAAATATATTTTAGGGGTTTTAAGAAATATTGTAATATATTATTTATTATATATACCTATATATAAATATATAAATTCTATTTATTTATCATAGTAAATAATATATTTTATATCATCTATGGTAATCGTCAAATGTCGTCTGTCGGCATTCATCGGCGACGATTAACAATTCTAATAATTTCAGTGAACAAAAAAATAAGAAGGCTATAGGTATTGATCATTGATGGAAGGTTTTAATTTTAGTTTTAACACAATAAACTCGCATATTTCTTTATGCTGAGGTAATTTTCATAAAATATTTCGATACTTTCAAGTTACAGTTCGGAACGTTTGCATTCATCAGCTCTCTAGGTAGGTTTCACCAGAAAAGTCTCCTCGACGTCTTCGGCCAACTCCTCTCCATCTGCGCCTCCAAGAGTCGGATTTCGGTCTCCGAGGTCTGCACGTCGCCACATGCTGTAATGGTGCCCGTATCAATGGCAGATAGAAGAGGAGTGACTAAACGAACAAGATATTCGTCGGTTTCGTCAGCGAAAGCGCCTTCCATTTTGTTGACCAAAATTTCTGCCAACATTTCCAGTAATATCATGTTTACCGCGGAGCGGTCGATATTATAATCGTTTGTTGCCATAATTTATTTTTAGAACGAAGATAATTTGTTTGTGTACGGTTGGATTTAATCGAGAATTGGTAATGAGCTAAATACGAATCTTTCGACACATAAACCTATCTCCGAGAAAATCTCCCACACGATGTGTGTTACTAGCCAACTAGTAGGTATGTTTATCGTTCTCGTCGGCCCGCAGCATTAGAATTTCGAGCTCGTTAACAATAACAATAATAACAATTTTATTTTATTTGCAAACAATTCCCAACATATTTTCAATTATAAATACAGTAGTGAGTTTGCTCACCTCCTGTACGCAAAAGCTTGCGTTGAAGGTGAGAGGAACTTAAATTAGACATTCAATTTAAATAAAAATAGGTAATAACAATAAAGTACAATACAAGATTTACTTAATACAAAATAGAGCGTTGATTTTTTTAAAGACCACTATTATTATTGATATCCAGCGATACGGTCGTGGCGAGAGCTAAGTAAAATAAAAATAAAAAGTATATCGAAGCAGGAGTTGCCTATTTAAACGGTGTAAAATACAGGTAAATTTGTTATAAGACATAACTAATTTTCTAATGCATAAATTAACTCCTAGTAAACTCCAAAACATTAGAAATATTGTGTAGAACGTGCTTTTGTAAAAATCATCAAAATCCAACGTTAAGAAATTCAGTTATAAACAGGGCTCGGAAGTTGTAGTACTAAAAATATTACTTTTTAGCTCTTAAATATGCACTATAAATAGCACGAAAAATCAGAAAACACGCATTTAACATGAAAAAATTAAAATTTATTAGAGAAACATTAGAAAAAATTAAATATAATTTTTACAATTGTATAAAATTGTTGGGCTCTTAGACTTCAGGGATTGTCTGGACTAGTTGAATTGTAAACTGTTAAAAAAATATTAAATTAGGTACTTAAATATGTTTGTTAAAGTGTACTTATAATGTATATTTATTTCCTAAGCAAGTTAATCATTTTCAACATACCTAGTGTGATAATTTCCTATATTATGTATTTTTTTTATTTTTCTTTAATTTCATATGTGATATGCAGAGGCGGATCTAAGAATTTTTACGCCCGGGGAAAATATTAAAATTAAGCCCAATCATAGACCAAGATTGAAAATACAATATCATTCCCTACAATTGTTTTATCATAACTGGAACTAAAATTACAAACATACTTATTAACTTTTAAACACATAATAATATATAGTAATTAATATATTCTGTGGACTGTGGTGTAAACAAGTTTATACTAATAAACTATCACACCAAAAACACTTTAAATTTAAAAACTTAGTTAACATATGGTTGATACATTTTTAATTACTGGAAATACTGTAGTGGTTACTTAATTGTATTTACCTATTATTAGAAATAATTATAATATTAGTTATATTTAAATGTTGAAAAATAATCAAAACTTTAATTACCTACCTATCCTGTATAAAAATTATAAACCCTTTTGCTGTTTTGGTTCTATGCGCCTCAGCCTTCAATTATAATAGATTTTTATGGTAAAATATAAAATCTTTTATTCTGATTAGGGTACACAATTTAGGCCAGTAAAAAATTGTATTTAATTAAACAATTTATAATAGAAAAATGAAAAAGTAAATATTTAAAATCAAATCTTTTTTTTTAAACATAAACAAATGTATAACTATCTTGGTAAATATTATAATATATAATATTATAAACTATATATTAACATCATTTTTAATATACAGATATAATATACGTATCGTACGTTGATTGATAATCTTATAACAGTTATTATGTAGGTATCAGAAATTTTAACGAAAACACAGCATTAATAAATGCCTAGGTATAGTTACTAGTTACATTTTCACTCAGAATCTTAATAATTATACTATTATAGTATATTAGTTGTATATGCTTGCAGTAGGTATGCTAATGCCAGTATACCAGTATACTAATACGAATCTATTCATAATACCATTAACTTTATTTTTTTTTTCATTAATTCCAACGTCATCACTACAACATCATAAACAAATAATGTGAAATAAAAATGTTTTCTTAACTTCTATCACCAACCATTAAATAAAGAACTAAAGAAAAATTACGCCCACTAAAATTTTACGCCCGGGGATCAATCCCCGGCTTCACCCCCCCTAGTTCCGCCACTGGTGATATGCATATGAATACTGGGCCCTTTAAGATGACTTGTATGATATGTATATTGTATATATTATGTATATAATGAAAATATACCCAAAAATAGCGGTTAAAGCCCTAAATTTGCAAAATAGCAAGAAAAACAGTAAATATGCAAAAAAAATAGCAAAATAACATTTTGTGTATGACATCAGAGCAGTGTAATACATATTTGTATCTTACTTTGAATGTTCTAGACTTAACTAAGAAAAAATATGCATAACTTCCGAGCCCTGGTTATAAATGAAAAAGTGGGAACTTTTTAATGGAAATTTATATTAAATTCAGAATCACGGTAGCTGTCAACAGCATTGCCAATGTTACCAACAATATTACCGTTCTTGTAGATTATTGTGTGTAGGTATACAATTATACGTTTATTTCAATTAATAAAAACTAATTATTAATTAACTTTATAGGACTAAATTTATGCCTAAAACTTTCTCTGTAATGTCCTCTTTAATTTAAAAAAAAACTGCTCGATGATTTAATAAGTAGTTTTGGAGTTTATAACTAACAAAAAAAAAAGCGACTTAATTTTATATAGTAGTATAGATATAGATAACTTGTTTAGCCGACTGCTACACTCAGAACATTTACATAAACTCTAATGTTCTTCATGTTTTTTGAAAAGATTGTGGCTTTAAAATAGTTTCTTTTGCTTCCATTAAATAATATAATGATTTAGATCATATAATAGTTACAATATTCTATAGACTATAATCATACTGAATATTACACTTCTATGATATTTGTATAATATTATATATAAATATATTTTTTTAATAATCTATCAGTAATTAAATTAAATAAAACTTCAAATCAATAAAAATATTTTATTTAATACACTTTATACTTCATTGCGAAATGTTACTAATAACTATACAATATTACAATATATTATCAAAAGCAAAAACAATTATAAGATATTTATCTACTATTATGATTTTTTTTATAGTGGTTTACAATGTACAAAAATAAAATTAATGCACCACACATAATTTTTATAAAACTGGTTGTTGCTATCAATTTTTACAATTTTCAGTACATATTTAACCTCACACAATGCAAGCAATGATGGTGTTGATCAATATAATAATATATACTAGTATTAAACATAGGAACAATCATCAATTAAAAAAACTTGCTTGTAGACATCTGAAAATTTGACTGGTAAATTCAATAAAACTCTCAGTCTCTCAAATCCAGCATGATACACAAACTAATGTTTTTCATTATTCTCGACTTCGATTACGAGCTTATCGAATTTGTACAAGTCTCCAACAATGGCCTAAACAAAATAACAAGATTAATAATTTGATTATTACAAGTTCAAGTTAATTAAAATAATTATTGTTGCTTATTATAAACAGCTGTATGGTACGGCTGTCATATAGTATGCGGTCTACCGGCGAACATGTTCTACTGGCCGGTTTTAAGACAGGCCTAAGTTTATTTTAGATTCTGAGTGGAACGATGAATGTATTGATTTTACAATGTTGTGTGTTGTTTTTTTTTTTTAATTTTTATTGTGTCTGTCATCACGTTTTAGGACAGTAAAAGTGCTTGGAATTTCTTCAACAGTAGCTTTTCTGATAGGAAAGTGAATCTAGTTGGTACTTTGGGGGGGGGGGGGGGGGGGTCAAAAGTGAAAATTTCCCAGTAGTTTTCAAAAGCGGAGTGAAAAAGATGGTGGCGAGGAATAAATAAATCGGATTTATTTAATGCATTTTTGAGAGATATGGCTGAAGTTTTTTGTAATATGAGCAACATATGTTTTTTTTAAAATTATTATTATTATTATATATTTTTTTTTTTGACAACAATATTTTTGACAAACAAATTTTTAATTATTAATTTTTTTAATTATTTAAGATAATGCACAATTATGCACAATATTCATCATTTTTGACAACAATTATACTACAATATTATGATATAATTGATACTTTATTTATTTGTGGTAGACCGCATACTATATTCGCAAATAGCAGGTAGACCGCATACTATACTCGTAAATTCACCGGTAGACCGCATACTATATGACAGCCGTATGGTACCAACAAACATTTTCTTAAAATATAATAATATTTTCCCATGGCTAGTTGCACGAATAATTACTATACGTTTTAAATTTTAATTGTTCCTTTATACTTTTTTTGTATCAACAAAATTAATAGTAGATAGTTTGCATATTTACTATTTACTAATATAATTTATAAAGCAGTATTTCGAATTCAATAATAATCTAACCAGTATTACATGACAATAAAAATAATATAACAATAACATAATTATTAGCAAATAATGTACAATAAGTACCTAAATACATTTAGTCATTTAGTAATAGACAGTAATTTTGTTGGACTATGTAAACATGAAATCATTGATTATAAATACTATGTTATATTATATAATATATATATAATATGTATAAATTATAATCAATGATAAAATATATTATAAAACATTGGGGAACTCGCTCTGATTTAAAGTAGGTTTCAAGTATACCTCATTAATGAGTACCTATGTCTCTGTAATAGATATACTCAATTTAAATCAATGATATAGGGGGAGGGGGGAGGATGTGTTGTATAATGTCAATATCAAAAATTGGTTAGGTGAAAACCACCTGACAATCGAGTGCACCAAGGACCAAAATAGTCCAGCCAAATGCGCTAAAGACCACACCGCAAACTTTAAAGGATGCCCAGTCTACAAAGCTGCCTTCAAAAAAACTTTCAATCCAGCCAAAGGATCTGATTCCAACACCTATCAAAAAACCAAATCTTACGCTGAAGCCACCAAAAATCATCAAAATTTACACGCGGAACTCAAAATCACCGACACTCTCTCAAGTCTCATTTCAAATTTAAACTCACTAATTACTCCCCTTATCTCCCTTCTTTAGTTAGTCCTAAAAGCACTCACAACTAATAGCATTCCATAATCTTATCGACCAGACACTTCACATTAAAATTAAATTAATAATTAAAATTTATATTTATATAATATCTTATCTCCCAATATTTTTCATTCCACAATAACATCACTATTATTTTCTATTTTTTTCTATGAATGTCAATAAAACTTTATTTGTTGAGTAAAAATACTTAAAAATTGAATACAAGGCTCCTACTATATTGTTACAATGACATTTGAAAAATATTAAAAATCTTTAGTGACAGTTTTATTGATAAGCATTTAAAGTTCAAATCTTGAAAAAATACAGAAAAATCACGAAAATGATCAAATTATTTTGAGTTGAGAATTCATAAAAATTTTCCTTTTTAAAACTAAAATTTGAAAATTTGATACAAGATTTCTCATAAGTTTGTCTACCTTTATCAAAAAAAAAAAAATGTCTACAAGCATATCCAAGTAAAGTTTTATGAGCGTTTGAAATTCATATTTTTACAATATTGGATATTCACTTGATTTCTCATGTAGCGGTTTTGTTATTTTATTGTTTTTCAAAAACGAATAACTTTAGATACATGAAAGTTTTAATGAATGTTTATATTTTCATCTTTTATACATCCTACAATTTTAAAAATTTTTTACTTTTTTTGGGCTGTTTCGGATATTGTCAGATTTAAATATTTTTTCTATAAATATCAATAAAATGTTATTTGTTGGGCAAAAAAGCGTGAAATTTGAATGCAGGGCTCCTGATATATTGTTACAATAGCACTTGAAATATATTATAAATACATAGCCACATCGTTTTTTAGCATTTAAAGTTCGAATTTTGACAAAATTTATAAAATTTAAAATTTAATAATTATTTTGTAGTTAAAAATTTATAAAATGTTCAACTTTTATAGTTAAGGATTGAAAATTTAAAACAAAGTTCCACATAAATAGGTTATATAATATAAATTACTTTATTCACAATAATATCATCAAATATACTTAGTAATATCATAGGCTGACAGACCTTTTTTGCTCAGAATCGTTTTTCTTATACAATATTACAATAATATTATATCATTGAATTCAAACTTAACACCATCTATAACAGTGACCCACTTGTAACCTACTGTACAGCAGAGCGACATCCACTTACCCACCTTTTTATATTGACATTATATAACAAAAACTATATTGTACTAAAGACTGTATTACATTTTCAAAATTAAGGTTTCAAAATAATTTTTAAATTTAAACTAAATACACTTGCAAAAACAAATTATGCTTAAACATTTCTGATATTTTTTAACTGATGAAATAACATATCAGGGATTTTGAGTTAAATTTTTGACCAACAATTTTTAATCAATATAAATTTAAAAAAAACTAAATTGTATATTTCAAATGTATATAGATAATTTAAAAAGAGCCAAAATATTAAAATTGTATTATGTGTAGAAAATGCTAAGACAAATGTATGAAGAAAATTGCGAGAATTCAAATTTATTAATTACAACAAAAAATAAAATTGATTATGGAAAAAACTAATGGGAGACAAATACTTTTGATCATCTATGTACTAACTACATCAAATGTATCAACAAAAACACCATTAATGTGTGAAGCTAATTGTCTGTTAAAAAATGTGAAAACAGACACAACAAATAATAATAATAATAATAATACCTACATCTTTGCTAAGCTCAGAAATTAAAATGAGAACATTTTAAAATATTGGTGTACCCGCATTTATTTGTTTTTAATAGTTAATAATAATATGCACTAACGGACTATAGTATTGACCATGTCCTAATGTACTATTAACTTCTTTCAAACAACAAACTGGTATATTTTATCATACTTTTATACCTAATTACAGTCCATAAACTGAACCGATAAAATATTATGTAATTTGTGACACGGAATAAAAAATAGGATTCCCTACAAAATTAATATACGTATTTTTTGGACTGAAATACTTATTCAAAAAAGTAATATAACCAACATAATTAAATGTATATAATTGTAATAGTTTTGAGAAAATAAAGGGAAATCTGAACAAAAATAAGCACTTAAAGGATTGGGCCACCCGAAAAGTGCAAAGATCAATGGTGTGTCTAAAATGTTAAATTACTTGTCGCTTGATGATATCCAAAAACCTGTGTGCCTCAAGCAGGTGCTGTTGGATTTCTGAAGTGTCATTGACCGCCTTTTGCTCCCTGAACGCATCTTTCACGCGTCTGACTGCGTACATCCTGTGCAAAAAAATTAATTTCATTGAAACGGTGATTGGACAGATTCAAACAACCTCATTTACCTGTAGTTGTAGAATGAAAACTTGTTACTCTCCCTCAACATGGTCTTGTAGATTTTGAGAACTTCGGCCCTGGTCACTGGGGCTGCCATCGCGGCTAAAAACCGTTCAAGAAGAAATGACAGTGAAAACGAACAGGTCCTTAGAAATTAACAACCGGCACTCACGACGTCTGGGAGTTCGTTGGTTTTCTGTTAAAATGAATAATGAATAATGATGCCAATCGCCAATGGCAATTCCCATTTCCAATTTCCTAGAACGACTGAGTCCATATAACACGTGATAACGTTTTCCGGTTGAACGACACAGGACGTGATAACGATAAAGTTGATAGATTGATAAGACAGTCTTATCACAGAACCCGGTCATCTCATAAACGATAAATTAATTTTAATTTTTACCATATTTTTTATAAAATTAGAAACTATTGTTAATTATATAATTTGAGTATTACCTTCTTAAAATTTAATTTTTCTTTAGTATTGATATTTCATAATGCTGTATAAATATGATATAGGTAGTTACAAGTTACCTATAGGTATACATACTGTTTTCCGCGTTAAATATATAATATTTGTACTAACTTGTAAGTTATTTTGTACTACGATGTGATAAAATTCATAATATTATATAATATTATATAATCACCTATAAGTACCTATAGTATTATTATAATATGTGAATTGGGAAAAAAATGTACCTACTTACAACAGCGATGCCCCTAAAAAGCCTATCCATAACGCCGCGTGAACATAATCATTATAATTTATCATCGTTAATCAAACAACTATTGATTTGTTGGTAAAAAAATGCATGTAAAGAAGGCGTTTTAGAGTAAAATTTAACTAAGCAAGTGCTTGAGGTTGAACTGTACAAGTGGTAACAGGAACAAACAGTACCTAGGTACTTGTTATGTAAAATATTTGCAAACATCAATAAATTTAGTCATTACCTTTACTCGCCTTCATAAACCTATTTTGTTCAACTATTCAATCGAATTGCTTACGAGAGTCAATTTTATCAGAGACTTAGGAATTTTACTTGAATGCAAATATGCAATATGCAATATATCTCCTCACACGTACATTCGATTACTAATAAAGCTTTCCAAATGTTAGGTTTCATTTACAGAAACACAAGAAATTTCAAAAACATAAACTCTATAACATTATTATACTTCTCACAATTATTAGGTTTCACTTAAAATTTGACTCTATAGTTTGATCATCTAATTATATGCTCTATCAGGTAGACAATGTACAATATAAATTCCTAAAATCAATCTGCAGTAGATAAATCAAATTTGGCTATTGACCTGACTCATATCACCTGTAGTCTACACATCTGGGGATGTCTTAAGTCTTTATGCGAATTAAGGAGAAAAGTTTCATACTTGATGTTCTTGTTCGATTTCTCCCAGCTAATTTCTATGGTTGGATTTAACGTTAGAATTAAGGGTACCTACGAGGTCACAAAATGTATTAGTTGTCCCACTTACAACACTAACTGTAGTTCCCCATCAATTTTTCCCAGAGTTCTTACTTTAACTAACAGTGTATTATTAATCAGATCGATTTCTTTTTATGTCACGCCATGTTTTTAAACACCTTGTTTATGTAGCATTAACTTCTGCTGTTAGATTAAAATCAAAAACATCCCTCGACTTGTTATGTAAAACCACCATGGGTGGGTGTTATAGAATTATTTTTGCACCATAATTTTTAAAACATTGATTTACCCAGGTTAAAAAAATAATTTTGATATGTTCTACTTAAGCTCGGTTACCTATATAAGCGTTGTACGGTGGGTAAAACACCGAAAATCGTAAACTTCGTAAGGCTATACCATAAAAACTAATAATTTCCGGCGGGTCGTTTTGCATCATATACATCTTAACTGGTTGCAACACACAGGAATCGTAAAAAAAATAATTGAAAAATTTGCGTGGGCGCTAAACTAGATTATAACACTAAATTAAAAAAAGATTTTAGGGGTTTTAAGAAATTTTCTTCCAATTATCACATTTAAATATTTAATTATTTTAGTGATATCATATTGGTAGTTTAAGTTTATATTTTATAATAGATCAATAGAAAATAGGTTACCTCAATCACATTTTTTAATTTAAATCCCGGTACAGTCGAGTTTTGGACGATTACCTACACAGGTAACTTATAATAATTCATTTGTAATTTAATTAGGTCCAAAAATATAACTTCTCAAACACTGTGTCTAGAGGAACTTGCGGGATAATGCTTCGAATAATAGAATGTCTATAAACTTGCGGCCAGTTTTGGCATAGTTAAATAACCGAAATAGAAAACCAGAATAGGATGTAAGTACATTGCTGATCAGTGTCACCAGTGGTGTATTGGTGAACAAATTTTGGGTATAACGCACTTTAAGCTATATTTTATTACAAAAAAAAAAAATTTTCTCGCTACGCTCGAAATATTACTTACATATTATAATACATTACAATCTACAATTAAACAATTGTACTATAATCTTCGCTTTTTTCTATTTTATACACAGTATTTCAGTTTGTATGTTAATTGTTAATATACTTTTAACTATTATTCAGATACTCACTCAATAGATAAAATTGTATTTTATTTATTAATAAAATTTTGGATTTTAAAATGGTGATGTCTTTCACACAATTAATCATATATCTAAAAAGTAGCAAATTCCTAGACAAATATTAACAGCTGAGTTGGTAACTTAATTTATTAATAAAAAATTATAACAAATACAAACTTTAAATTAATTTATTACTAGTTAGTAGTTACTATAATATTTTCCACAAACTTATTTTTTCTTCTTGGACTTTAAACTGTTTTGGATTAATAGTAATTAATTTAGTGTTTGTTGAAAGTTGAATATTTTTAAATACCATAACTTCTTTAAGTTTAGAAACTTCAGACATATGTTCTCCCGGAGTAACTTTAAATGATTCTATAATCCTTATCGTTCTTTTAATGTGCTTTTGGCCTTGAATAAGTGTAGTTGTACGTTCTTGTAATTGATTAGATAGTATAGATAGTTCTTGTAGACAATCACACATCAAACCCAGGTCTGATACAAATTCTGGACTTGCCATCTTTTTAGACTTTTAGGCCAAAGATATTGTTTTAGTTTAGACATCTTAGTTGAATCATTTGCAGCATTACAAAAATGATCACACAAAGCTGGAAATGTTTTCCATACAGCATTAATGGCCCTCCAGCTACTGTGCCACCCAACGGACATCAAGAACTCTTCCCCAGTTTCAAAAATAAAATATCTAATTCATTTACACACATTCTGAGTTCATTTTGATTCTTAGGAGAAGCGTTGTATAAGACGTATAAAGAATCATTGAAAGATTTAAAGTGGTTTAAAGCACCTATGTCTTTTATTGAGTCATGAACTGCCAGTTCTAAACGATGGTTTAGGCAGTGCAACAAAACCAGTAGGCAGTTGTAATCATACCGCATAGTTTTATTTATAAATAATCGTTTATCTATAATCGTGGTCACGGTCATCTTCTAAGACCGTGATCGTGGTAATAATGCCATATTGTATACAAAAAATATTCTCGATTAAGTTGTGATATCAACAAAATATTCATGAATAAAATTAAAATATATTATCAATATTGCATATTTTATCAGTATACGCTCCTATACGGGCGTATACCTGCGGTTGTGTAATATTTTTAAAAGCTATACGCTCAGATCGACAATACGTTTTGGGTAGACGCCGTATACCCCGTATACCCTCCAATACACCACTGCTGATCACAAAGAATTCTGTTAAAAGTATAAATATACGAGTATCAATAGGCCGTATAGGTATTAGGCAGGTACTGAGTATAATATATAAGTTCTATGGATTTGTCATAGTTAATAATATCTATGGCAATCGTCAATTGTCGACATTCGTCGGCGACGATTAACAATTCTAATAATTTTAGTGAATAAAAAAATAATAAACCATCAATATAGACGGACAGTTCGTTAAGCCGTATATATTATAATGTAAGTTATAGCACAAACTCACAGATTTCGTTATGATCGGGTTATTTTCATAAAATATTTCGATACTTTCAAGTTTTAGTTCGGAGCGAGATGATGATGGATGAAGACAGCCGTTTCTTCGGCGACGGCGCCACTCTAGCCTATATAAGTTTCACCGGAAGAGTCGATGTTTACGCGTAAGTTTGTTTCCATATTATTATACTATTTTACATTTACCTTAAGACTTGAATTAAATATTTATTGCCACGGGACAATCTGTAACTGGGTGACGTAGAAGCATTTATAAGTTTAATCCTAAAAGCGCAATGTAGAAAATACGAAAAAAAAATGTAAAATATTTTTTTATTGAAATCTTGTAAATAATTTAATTAAAAAATCACTAGTATCAATTTTATTATAGTACGTGTCAAATCACCGGCACAATAGGTGCAGACTTAAATAGTCTTAGATAAGTCTTAAATATTATTAACAAATAAATACAAACAATAGATATTTTAATAGCTTTTTACTATTAACCTTTAGTGTAAATAGTTTCTGATCGACTTATATGTAAGTACCTTCTATAAAATAATTATTCATATAAAAAAATCCTAATAATTTAATGCAAGGATTCTCATCTCGATTTTCATAAATTCATCTTACAGCAGCCTTAAAACCCCAAAAATACATTTGTATAGGTCGAGGTATAGGTACATCATTTATGCACTACACCTACCAAATAAATTTTATACAACATTTTAGTTCCCTATTATGGTGTAGGTACTAATATAAACAATAAATTATTATTCGAAATCACAATTTCGTATACCTATTATTATTTACTAATTACCTACCTACAACTAAACTAAAAATAAAAATTCTGATTATATTCGAGTGCCTATATAATATAATATTATATATGAAAATTAAATCTTTATCGTTTACACAGACCACAAGAAAAAAAAATTAAAAAAAATTAAAGAAAACATCATTGTAAAATTAATACAGTCATCGATCCGCTCAGAATCTAAAATCTAAAATATATCCGATAAATTTAAAATTAACACATTAAATCGTTATTATTAATTTCGTATTCAGCAGTAGGTATTCGGAGAAAATGATAGACTTGGAATTTTACAATCTAGTTGGTATTATAGTCGGTACTGTAAATTTGATGCATTTACTGAGTATGTTAACTTTATGTTAATTCTAAAATCCAGTGATCACATTTTTATTTAATGATTCATAAAATACAATATGCTTTTATAAAAATATGCTTGTACTTCTGCAGATATCTAGTATATCTATTTACCATCTTAATAAATAATTAAATTAATAAACGAAAATAGTAATTTAAATAATACCTATATCATATATTCATATTATTATTATTCAAATTCAAAATTATAAATTATTTTGGTTTATTGTCGTATCAAATTCCAATGAACAAATTGATCCTTAAGGCTATTAGTGGCTATTATTTAAGGGGAACAATTTAGGCAATTTTTAATCTTGTCGTCGCCGCCCGTAATCTATGTGTTAGTCGTAAATGATTATTAGTGTGAAATTCGAAGAAATTCGAACTCGATAACAATAGATTTTATATCGCCCGGCTGCGGGCACACGGTTCAATAGCACACGTACGCGCATGCACAAGTCAACGTAATCACTCTCGAAAAATATTTTTGTACACTCACAACAGTGAAAAATGCTAATAAGCTGGCGAAAAATACACTTACTTCTAGTAGTCCAATTTCAATTTTGAAAAATTATTTGAATTCGTCAGCCTCTTTTCTATGATTTGTAGGAAACCGATTTTGGATATTTTAGATAATTTACGTATATTACGGTTCCAAATGACTGCTTGATTTCTCAAATTTAACTTGCACTTTTAAGTGCTAACTAGACAAAAAGATGAAAAAGTTTTTCCTACAGATCATAGAAAAGAGACTAACGAATCCAAATAAGTATTCAAAATTAAAATTTGACTGCGTTTGAAGGCCCTTGAATTACGCTTAGGAAAAAATGAAGATCTTTGTAAACAATATGTGGATTTTATGCAGGACTACTTAACAGCTGGCCATATGGAATTAATTCCACCTGAAACCGTTGATACTGCTTATAAATATTACATTCCACATCATTGCGTTCTGAAACCTGATAGTACAACAACGAAATTACAAGTTGTTTTTAATGCGTCTGCTCAGACTACAAACGGTGTCTCCCTGAATGAAAGCATGTATGTAGGTCCTAAGCTTCAGCCAGATATACAGATTGTACTGCTCCGGGCCCGCCTTTGGAAATATGTATTTGTTGCAGACATCAAACAAATGTATCGACAGATTCTTGTCCACCCAGATGATAGAGACTACCAACGTATCTTATGGCGTTTTTCATGTAACTCTCCTATTGAAGAATATCGGCTCTGTACCGTGACCTATGGCACATCGGCAGCTCCGTTTCAAGCACTTCGTACTATTCGCGAGTTGGCCATGGTTGATGGTGCCACCTTTCCACGAGCCGCTACAATTCTTTTAAATGATACCTTTGTTGATGACGTTCTCACAGGAGCCAATTCAATATCAGAAGCGCTCGAGTGTCAACAACAGCTCATTCAACTATGTTCACGTGCACAATTTGATCTCCGGAAATGGCCAGTAATAGCAGTGAAGTTTTGCATGCTGTCAGTGAAGATGCTCGTGCAATGGCACCATCAGTGCTTTTTGATGCCAGTGAAAATCCAGACTTAAAGATTCTTGGTCTCAAGTGGGATCCTCTGTCAGACACATTTTCCTTTAAAGGACACCCAACAATCAAAAGTCCAACAAAACGATCAATTCTTTCGGACATAGCTCGAGTTTTTGATCCGTTAGGACTCCTATCACCCATTACTTTATGGACAAAACATGTGATGCAACGACTATGGACTGATGGCATTGGTTGGGATGATCCTGTCTCTGCAGAAATCTCACAACAATGGTCGAGATATCAGTCGGAACTTCATCTAATTACTAATATTCAAATTCGTCGTCGATTAACATACGACAATATGACTTCTGTGCAATTGCATGCATTCTCTGATAGTTCAGAAAAAGGCTACGCTGCCGCCGTATATTTAAGAATTGAATCACCCACTTCGGTGCATTGTCATCTAGTTGCTGGAAAGTCTAAAGTCGCTCCTTTAAAACGATGTACAATCCCTCGGCTCGAATTGTGTGGAGCTGTCTTAGCTGCGAGGTTACTCCATTTTGTTGTCAGCGTTTATGCGGATCGACTCAAAATTGATGAACAACATGCATGGACCGACTCTACAACTGCACTGGTCTGGATTCAGTCTTCCCCCCACAAGTGGGCCACGTTCATAGCAAACCGCACGAGTCAAATTCAGCAACTAACTTCTCCCTCTATTTGGCGCTATGTACCCACACAACAAAATCCCGTTGACTGTGCTTCGCGTGGACTGTTTCCGTCTGAACTAGTCACTCACCCCCTATGGTGGACTGGTCCTCCATACCTATTAGAAGTTTCTCAGACATGGCCGCCAACACCAGTGAATCAACCTACTGATCTCACAGCTCAACAGTATGAATCAAGAAAGGCCACTGTGCTTCACGTGCTCATCAACTCGTCGATAAATGATTTATTAGAACGTTACTCGTCTCTCGACAAAATCCTCCGTATAATTGCATATGTACTTCGATTTGGAACAACACGTGCTGCACCTCTGCTTTCTACTGCTATAGGTGCCGATGAACTAGCACATGCATTGACTGCTCTGATATATTTCACGCAACGCACCGCCTATTCTGACGATATTGACAAACTGTCCAAGCGTGTTCGCCCATCCAGGGACCTTCGTAGTTTGGATTTGTTCCTTGACCCATCTGGTATCGTCAGAGTGGGCGGTCGACTTACAAATGCCAATATTCCATATGCGCACAAGCATCCAGCTCTCTTACCTTCGTCTCATGTGTTGACCAAACTGATAATTGATCATCATCACCTTCGGTTGAAACATCCTGGTGCTCATACCCTACAATCGCATCTACAACAAGAGTATTGGATTCAGTCAGCTCGTCGAACTATACGCTCTCGTCTCCGGTTATGTATCTCTTGCTTCAAAACAAGACCAAGAATCATTGAACCAAAAATGGCTGCGTTACCCAAATATCGTGTTCAGCAAATAAAACCATTTTCGATCACGGGAGTAGATTATGCTGGTCCTGTTCTGATAAAACGTTCGCACGGACGCTCCTCTGCTTCAATGTCAGCGTATATCTGTTTGTTTGTGTGCACAGCTACCAAGGCACTACACCTGGAGCTGAGTTCTGACCTGAGCACAGAGACTTTTCTATTAGCATTTACTCGCTTTGTCGCTCGACGTGGTCCTGTCCGCGAAATGCATAGTGATTGTGGCACAAACTTCGTGGGTGCATCACGAATCCTGACTCCGTTGAAAACCTTCCTTCACTCAAGTTCCTTTCAAGATCGAGCACATCAACAGTTAGCGAAAACGGGTGTAAAATGGTTCTTCAATCCTCCCTCGTCACCACATTTCGGCAGGTTGTGGGAGGCTGGTGTCAAATCTGCCAAGGCACTGATTCTCAGGTCAGTTGGCACACATCGATTAACCAGTGAAGAACTAATGACACTACTCGCCCAAGTTGAAGCCACGCTGAATTCTAGGCCATTAGGCGCTTTGAGTAATGACCCGTCTGATCTCTCTGCCTTAACGCCCAGCCATTTTTTAACCCTCGAGCCTTCAGCAAATCTGCCTGAACCCAACATAGACTCACTTCCACTGTCTAAGATGCAACGGTGGCGTCTCATCACTGACCTGCATCGCCACTTCTGGTCGAGATGGAAAAATGAGTACCTATCCAGTCTACAACACCGGAGAAAATGGTCTGACAATCAAGGGAAATTGGCTCTTGAATCTTGATGATCTTGTCCTGATCAAAGAGCCCACGGCTCCTCTTCATTGGCACCTCGGACGAATCGTAAAGCTGCATCCTGGATCGGACGGAGTTTCCCGCGTTGCAACCGTTCGAACTGCAACGGGCCTCCTGACCAGACCTGCTGTCAAGCTTTGTCCTCTACCTTCTCCTTGAAGTCATCCCTTCAAAGTGGGCGGTGATGTACGCGCCGAGCCGTTGTGCATATCGCTTATCTGTGCAACGGTGACCGTTGTCCACTTTATCTCCCGTGCTTCCATACCCCATACATTATGTCTAATTAAAACATTATTATAATTATTAATTACTATTTATTGTCTTTGTTTCTGTTGTACCATTTGCTTATATGTCAAATGTCTTTGTAGATTGTTCATGTTATCTGTGTCTTGTTTTTATTCGTTTCGGTATCATATTATGCTTCTTCGTTCTTATATGGTTTTCTTTTTTCTGTTCATACGTTTCAATTTGTTTTGCCACTTCGGCACCCATATTTGTTGTTCTTTTGTCGTCGCCATTGCGGCACGATCATCGATTGAACGTACACTGTATCGTCGCTGGCTAGTATAGCCACACCTATGTTCAATAAATATACACTCCACCAATAATAAGTGAGTTCTTTTGTCTCTTATTATTATCTGCTCCTCACCAACGCGTGTACGAGACATCTTATATTGTACGTGTGCCATCACCCCGTCATTCTTGCGAGACCGTCGACTCTTTGTCGAATGCTGATCGTCGTTGCGAGCCGCGTACGCGGTCTTCACGTATTGGTCTCCCAGTCCGCATAAGTCCGCCAGCATCCGGCGTGGTGTGTGTGAGGCCGCCCTGGTCTACCAACTTGCTGCCCCGCTGCTGCGTAAGTCCGCCAGCACCCAATTGAGGGTGTGTGAGAGGCCGCCACGGTCGTCCAGTCGCGCCACTCATCTACGAGTCTATCCACCCACTGCACCTGCCTTAATTTTAATTACCCTTAAGTAATAGTTATTAAGAAATGCCCGACTATATGTGAGCCTCGTCGGTCATTGCACCACACCGAACTGACCAAGAGGACAACCCCACCCAATACTTATTAAACTGCTTCCGTCCTGTCATAACTTCCGTCTTTCCACCACAGGTTGCCGGTCCGTATCAGGCAAAGCAAACGGTCTGATAAGTTGCCTACCCACTCAGGTTAAGGGGCAAATCGAACTTGAAAAAGAAGTTGTCTATACACCACCCCGTACGGGTATAAAGTGTCCCGTCCGAACGAAGTAGCACCTTTATACATAACACACCAATAGCAACCATTTAAATTACCTAGGTACTGCTTAATAACAATATTATACGCTAATGCAGGCCAAGTATTAAACTATACCTGGCAATTAACAACGGTTAAAAGCTCACTGAATAGGTGCACAACTTAAGTCACCCAAATGTCTATACTATATAGTTACTGTATTTAGGAACTACCACAGAACAAGAACTGCAGTTTACTATAATACTATACTTTCTCGATCAATATATAGAACACTCGTGCATGGTGCATCTTCGCTGCAGTGTATTGTGTACGCAGAAAACCATAAAACAACAAAATTATAAAGATTATATTATTATAGTTTATATATCAGACATTCTTGCGCCCGCGTGATGTTTGGATACGACATTGTTAAAAAGTGTGCCGTCTTAACCTGCTTAAAGTGGGCAGATTGGTCCAGATTTGTCGAACAGAAATGTGCGGTTATTAGAGTCAACTGTTTGAATTATCGATTTCAAACGATGTGTGTCCTAAACAATCAGTGGCTTGAAATACGGTATCACGAGCATATATATATATCACGGAGGATCAACAGTCGTTCATGGCCTCTCAAGTCGGGTTCACACTACACCGTGTCGTGTGATTTCGTATCTGTATGATTATACCAAAATGAGATACCGATGATATTAATATTGTATCTGATGATAACATATTATATTATTTTATTTTAGCTATCACTTTTCCGCACATAAATGTAACCACACGGTCAAAAATTGAATATATTCAATTTTGCAGTATCGTTTGGTAACTGTGATTATTTTACACTTCACGGTGTAGTGTGAACCCGCACTCGGCTTCAGGTACTATCTGAAAGTGGTCGTTTTCGGCATACATATATTAGTTATATATATCAGACTTAGCATTGAAGCTCAGACGAATGTAGGTATATAATATTTAAAAATTATAAATATACTAGCTGATCCTGTGCACTCCGTTGCCCGTTAAATGTATCAACTCTATATGACTCAACCTTTGTTCAATTCGTAATTTAATATTCGGTGTATGGTGTTCAAAATTTATCTCAACTTTTTCGTTACCCGGAATAATAATTCTGCTTCTCAGCAGTAAATTATCAGGTACGCAATTTACCTGCGGTAGACCCCGTGCTGTTTGTACGTACCTTTAAAATTTAACTCTTAACTCTTAAGTATCAAAGGTATACCAAGTTTGTCGTTTTTACCTAAGTCCACCTATGGTAGATTAATATGATCAATTCATACAAAATCCTATCCTAACCTAACCGTACTAAGATCCGATGAACAAAACCGATAATAAATAAACACTAATTTCTATACTGTTGACTGTAACCAATAGCAACTATTAATAAATAAAAATAAAATTTCCAATTTCCATCGTAAACCTTAATGTCCCTGTTTGAGCAACTGTTTAAAATGCGAATTTCGGCAAATCCTTTCTTACTGCACTGTGAAAATATGAGAAGAACCTCTATTCCAAATTTCAAGTTCGTACTTTACGTGGTTTTTGAGTTACAGCGATCAGTGACTAAGTGGTATTTGGATTTTATATGTACAGGTAACGTAAACTCCTACGCTTGTATTTTACTCATCATTTAAAATGACAGGTCTTAAGGTATACACCTAATTTGTTATACATATTTTACACTTGGAGGTACCTGCAGCTATACATAAAATATATTCCTCTAGTTATTTTTCGGGTAAAATAATAGCGTCTAAAAATACGTCGCATCGTTGTTGTATTGTTATTGTTGTTTTTTAAATAATGACGACGATCGAGTGCGATTTATTGTCGCCGATCTTTTTATATAATATCATTATATTATATTATACATATTATACAGTCGTACTACTGCGCAATCACGTTGCGAAAAGGACATAAATTTAAAATTACAACTGGAGACGTCTAATGGAAATAACCGTTTAGGATATACATTTTATACGGAGAAAAAAACGGAAAAGAAATAAATAGGTCGTATTTAAATTTAATACGTATAACGCGATACTCCATTCCGATTGGTATATTTAAATATTTTTACCGTTCGCTATAAGATTTGTCGGTTTCGCTCGACACCATATCGGATTCAAAACTTTTAAATCTTTATATTATATTCGTTCTGCCACCCCGCGTCGATGGCGATAACAATAAATAATAATAAAATATAAATAGCTTTAACTACAGCGCGTTTTATATATTACGCATAAAAAGGTACTTTTACAGGCTACAGCTGATTGGTTAAAAAGTATGGTATGCAGACGATGGAATACTCGTCATCTATTGAAAATAGGTAAGTCCAAATTTAAAAATATAAAATATATGTTATGCAGTGTTTATGTTGTGCGCAAACGAGTCATCGATATCTAGGTAAACAATTTGGATTGTGCGCAAACGAGTTGCACCGGGGCGCAACGGTAGTTTTGGCGACACGCTGGCCGGACGATAACAATAATAATAATATATCACATCCGTGTATGGTACACATGTAGAGCATTTGACGTATATATATATTATACGAGATTAGAAATTGCCTAAATGATTCTCCTTAAATCAATGCCATTGCGAGGCCCCTTAATATACAAATGTAAAAACTAAAAACCCAAACAACAATTATTGGGAATAGAGTAAGTAAATCGAAATCGATTTAATATTCAGAATTATTCAGAGGTATTGTACGTAGTTGTGATATTCTGATAGGTATATATCTACATTGTATTCAAAATAAATATTAAATCATTTATACTATATTATTAATATTTTCCAATTGACTGGAGACTATGTTCATCTTCCAGTGATGGATAATGTACCTATTTATATGGGAAAAATAGGCACTGACCCCGAAGAAGGGATAACAATGTTGTTTGTATTACCAGAAATTAAAAAGTAAATACTATGTAGTATGTAATTAGAAAATGAATTATCTTGATAGGTATCTATGTAAATAAATTATAATAACTGTATAAAACCTATTTGTTTTCTTTTTCAGTATACTGAGGACTGGATCAACGTTTTTGATGGATGGTACATTTGCTGCTGCTCCATCATTTAACCGGGAGTGTCAACAGCTATATGTTATAATGGGTATAACATTCAACACCGTGAGTTATACCTAAAAATAATTATACTCATGTATACAAATATTATAATGTGATAATCATTGCAGCTTACCTTAAACCTTAGGTATCTATCTGTGTATACATTTTATAAATTATAAAATGTTTGTATTTTAGGGATTCCCAATTGCATTTGCTTTGATGTCAAGAAAGACAGCGAGGGCTTACAATGCCTTATTTAAATGGCTATTAGAAATTGAGCCACAGTGGACACCACAAACAATTATTGTAGATTTTGAGAGAGCTGCAATGGTGTCATTGAAAACAATTTTCAATAAAGTTACGATAAGGGGTTGTTGGTTCCATAGCTCTCAAGCTCTGTGGAGAAAAGTTGGAGAATTTGGTAAGCTTATAAATATTTTTGATGGTTCAATAAGTATATATTAAATAATCTTAAATGTATTACAGCCTACAGGAATGATAGAAATATGTACCGGGCATCGAAATGCATATGACATCGTACATATGCTAATGGCATTACCACTTTTGCCTGTGGATAAGGTGATGGAAGGCTTTCTTTCTATAAGACAATTTTACACAGAAAATGTTGAAAATAGTTTGCCAGTGGAAAGCTGTAGGATATTCCAAAGATATTTCCAGTACTCCAAGGTTTGTTAAACCTGAAAAATATTAGAAGAAGATGATATAGGAATATGATGCATTACATTTTAACATTTTAGTTTTACTTAGCATAGTTGTAAAATTGTTTGGCAATTTTAATAACAAAGAACTTTGTTTAAGTAATTGAACAAATTTTTTTTAAATTAAATTTACATATTTATTTTGATTTATTTAGTTGTTAATAATTTAAATATGAATAGTAAAATACTGACACTGATTGAGAAATCATGAATAACAATTACAGTGTATTTAAAAACATAATGTATACATTATACAGGACCAAATGCAGACATCTTGTCCTTAAACAATGTTATTTGGTGGACAAACAACGTATTGGAAGTTAGCCATCAACACCTCCGCATGCACATGGGTAATATGCATCAACCAGAACCATGGGTGTTTTTAAGTAATTTATTTTATAATTTTTACTAATTTACCTTGTACATACTGTTTTTAATAAAAACATTTTTGTCTTCATAAATTTAAATTAATTATCACTATAAGGCACCGTAAATGTCTAACAAAAAAATATAATCTACCATGATAGGTTTTATAAAACATTTAAATTTTGCAGAAGGGTTAATTACATACTCAAGTGGTGTATTGGCCGATTACAATTTGGCAATTGATGGTATCCAGGTCAGGGAACCACAACGGCAAATCTGGATAGACCACCAGCGAAACCTCGATTTGGCTTCTAGGCTGTTAGCTGAAGGGCGTTACACAGTATCTGAATTTTTGGCATGTACTAAACATGTTACCCCAAATTTTGGAGTAGTCAGACCCATGCATATTGCCCAACCACTTCCACTTCCTGAAATACAACCGGTCGTTGAGAATCGGCAACCAGTTAATGCCAGGGATTTTATTTTAGAAAGATGGCCTATTGTTGATGGAGAAATAAATAGTAAAATTTAATATACTCACTTAGATACAACTATAGGTAATAGTCCTAATATTCTTTTATTTTTAGTATTGCATCTTATTCATGGGCTGGACAATGAAGAAGAAGAAGAAAATATACCACATCCAGTATTACCGGATAATACATATATTAGTCTTGAAGACTTGACCAGTAAATAAATATTACACTAAAAATATATAATCATTAATCATGCATGCATAATACACATTATTATTAAAATTTATATACTTTAATTAATTAACATACTTTGAATTTTCAGTTGAACCAATCATATCTGAAAGCTGTTATATATGCCATTACTCAATGCCCACTGTCATAGCAATACCATGTAGACATCAAGGATTGTGTGCTCCTTGCCATCAAACATACATAAGGATGCCACCATACAGAACAATACCATACTACAGATGCCCTTTATGTAGAGGAGAAATTACAACATATTTCATAATTGTTTGACAAATATAATAATATTCTAATAGCCAAATTTTTCATCTTATTTCACTTTTTCAATATAATTACTTATAATTTATATATGATACAATTTGATGTAGGCACAATCATAGGCGCCAGGTTTTCAAAAATGTATTGGGTGCTCTTACCAATGTCAAGCAGCGGTGAACGCAGGGTTGTGGTGGGGGTTAAGGGGTTTCACCCCCCACCCCCCCTCGAAATTTCTCCGAGGCCTAGTATAATGTTATTGCTATACAATATTTATCTCTATAGTAAATTATTAATAGAATAACACCCCTCCCCCCGAAAAAAATCCTGTGTGCCACTGATGTCAAGTATTAGTGAGGGGCTTTTCCCCCCACACCCTATACTAAATTTTCTATAAACTGGTAACAAAACATATTTACAAAATACAATATAATATTTTATACAATTTTTAATGAATACCGAGTGTCCGAGTATATAATAAAATAAGAGTTTTTAGTAACATTTTAAACAATTAAAATAAAAATATTTTAAATTACAATGAAAATGTGTTTTGGCGAACTTTGTTTTTATTTATAAAAGTATTGACGACTTTTTCAATATCAACATCTTTGTTTCGATGGACATGAAGAAGAGCTATATCATTGAGACGAATTTGTGTCATCGTTGATCTCAAAAATGTCTTCAACCTCCTCAATGCTGAGAAAGACCTTTCTGCAGTTCATGATGAAACTGGAATAGTTAAAATAATTTGTAGGAGTTTGGAAAATTCTGATAACATATCACACAAATTGTCAGATTTCATGAAATTTACGGCGTCTTGTAAATTTTTTATAGAGATATTCCTAGAATTCGCAATATCTAAAAACACATCCCGATGTAATATCAATTTATCTCCGTTAAAATCACTTCCATAAAATAGAATTACATTGGTGATATGTTTTTCGATAACGATTTACCTATTATAATTAATATATTCGAGCACCCGGGCACCCATTTACTTGGCGCCTATGGGCACAATAAAATTATTCAAATCTTAGAGACTAGAGTTATCTACACTCAATGTTGCAGACAAGATAAAGAAACTAAAAATAAGAATCTTACGTTTAAAGTTCACCACTACTGTAAGGAAGCGGCTTTAGATATTTTAACAATACAAGTATGAAAATACTACTTAATATGTAGTTTGTATAAATTTAAACTTATAAAATTAGGTGTAGTTAGTTGTTACATTGTTACATTTAAAATAAATAGTGGGTAATATTATTAAACTACATAGGTACCTATTGTAGATAATACATTTATACTGGAAATGTGAAAACGTAAATATTGTAAATACCTCATTACCTAGGACCTAAAGCTAAAGGTGGGCATTTAAATAAAATGAATAATATATGTAACCCAAGTCATGTTAGTTAAGTGAATACAAAGTTGTTAAATTAGAAGTTATTAGTTAGCAAATAAAAAATTTAACTCTCAGTCTAGTCTAAAGGTAATATGAACAAAATATTAACTTAACTCTGTTTTAAAAAAAGTTCTATCTACATTTTTAAGCGGCAGGTGGCTCACATTAAGAGTATTTTGTTTCTTTCTATTCTTTCTGTAATATGATATTATTTTATATGTTTAAGAAACAGAAATTTCAATAAATATCATTGTATCATCCGTTACTATTATTATTATTATTATTATTATTACCTATAGTATTTGATTAGGTACTATTATTTTATGTATAAAACCATTAAAACCAACAATTTAAAAATATTTTTAACTTTAAAAAGTTAATTATAAAATAATTAACTAGTTAAGTTAAAAATAGGTTAACTAAATATTTAGCTTAACTTAAACTATTTGAACTAGTTAATACTTACCTTAGCTAAACTATATACTAAATAGTCAATAACACATGATTAACATATATATTTTTTTTTTTTATTTAAAAACAAATATACAATTATACATTAATTTTAATTTGTACATTTGAATTACCTATCTTCTGTAAGCTAAGCTTGTGGCGAAGATAGGGAGTTACAATTGTTAAAATATATGCTTAAAATAAAAATAAATTTAAAGCACAAATTACGTAGTTATACAATATGGAAAGAGAGAGAAGAAGAAAAAAGAAAACAAAGTTATAATAATATAATATCATAAACTTAAACCTAAGTTACATTTAACGATACATGCAGCCACTCAATAATTAATTTTTTAGCATTATTATAATTATAATTAATATTAACATTTTTCTTTATTGAGAAAGGCATAGAATTATAATAAAAAGGACCAAGAAAATTAACAAATTTTTGACCAACTGATTTTTTAAAAAGTGATGTTTTAGCATCAAATGAACGAAAAGCTCTTTTTTTACTGAAAACATTTTTGTCAACCCACTGATCTAGGTGTTTAACCACCCACAAAATAGCCATTGGCCAAAGGTCAACTGGTAATACATTGAGCTCCCTATATAGCTCCTTATATATAGATATAACACCGAGATAAACAATATGTAATATGTATAGTAGGCACTTACTCTATAACTATCCACATTCAAACGCACCCCAGTATAGACCGAATGTAGGAAAAAAAGCCACGGAAAAAAAAGCCAAGAAAAAAATCCGCGGAAAAAAAAGCCATGGGAAAAATAATCCAAGGAAAAAAAAATCCACGAAAATAATAGTAATGAATGTATTGATTTTACAATGTGTATTTTTTTATTTTTATTATAAATTTAATAAATTTACTTATTTAATATTATTAACTTCTACTTTTCTGGTGGGAAAATATTTAAATACAAATTTTATACTATATAATAATATATCTTAATATTGGTTCATATTGCAACATGTACTTTTGAAAAAAATCACCCTGTACAAAGTATATAATAATCAAAAAAAAATGTAAAACAAGGTTTATAGAGGTATAGTATAACTTAATATTAATTGTAGTTCATACTGCAACAGTGCGGCATGTAGGTACCTACATTTAAAAAAAATCACCCTGTACATAGTAGATACGTTAAAAATAACTAGGTGTAAGACATAAATCAATCAATTAATTTCAAGATAATATGTAGTTTATCCACAAAGTATCAATTTATTTTTGTCCAATTGTGACATGTTGGAAATTTACTGAAGGAAAAGTCTACTTAAAATTTAAAAATATTATGTTATACCTACTTTATAATGTAACATTAAAGACTGAGTTAGTCTAATTAAAATTTATAAATATTATGTTACCATGTTATACCTACTTTAAAATGAAAATTTAAAGACTGAGTTAGTCTACCTGACTACCTACTTAAAATTAAAAAAATATTTTGTTATGTTATATAGGTACCTACTTTAAAATGTAAATTTAAATACTGAGTTAGTCCACTAAAAGTTTAAAAATATTATGTTATGTTATA